GTGTGTCCAACGGCAACTCGCCGCGTTGCTCCTCGTCTTTCAATCAAAATGTGCAAATGTTTAAAGTTTCCTTTGTTGCCGCGCATTATCGCATGCCACATGCCGCTTGCCAATGCCCCCCCATCCCTTATACACACTGAACTGGTGTGCTGCGATTCGTGACTCCACACGAAGCACCAACGAGCATTGACCAACTCAAACACTAGCCATTGTCCACTGTATTGTTGTCACTGGCCGACAGTTGGCAGTTTTCTTTTGCTTTTGGCCATCGGCATATGCCGTGTGGCAACAATAACGATTTAGTTGTAAGCGTGCGTGCGTGTTTTTGTTGCACACGTTGAGCGCCAACGAATATGCATGTGCCACACATTAGTCGCTAGTAGGCATTTGTGAATTTCCATGGGGTTGCTGCCGTCGTTCAAGAGGGCGCTCGGTCGCCTGTAGCTCTGGGTTATTATCCTTTAATGTACACCGACTGCGAATTGTTTAAAAAAATATACATATGTGCATATACTTGTATGTATATGTTTGCATTTACAAACGAAGGCAAGGGCAGAATGTGTAGTGCTTCCTGCTGTTGCTAAACCTTTTGTTGCCTCACAAATTCACTTATGCACTTATTTGATTATGCTTGCTGTGCAACGTTCTTCACTTGGGTTTTTTTTTCAGCTCACATTCTTGCCACAAGGCTTTAAAGTTGAAAATGTGCGCAATTGGAAAAATTCGTACGCTTCTTTTGGTAAATTTTATTTTCTTTGATGGTCTCATCTAATTTCAACTAATTACGAACATCACATGCTGCTGTTGTCTGCTGCACATGTTGCCGCTGCGGTTGATGTCCATATTTTATTGCCGTTAGCCTGGCAATTGCTTGGTCGTGGCATCGCTTGCTGGATATTGCAATTCTTTTGTATCTGTTGTGTTGCTTCGTCTCCTCATTGCGGTTAACAAATTGTCATCATTTGCAATGCACAGTTTTCTCATTTCCTCATCGTTGCTGTGCATGCAACATTGGCAACATTTGTTGCTCATTTACCTTTAGAGTAAAATATCTGCAAGCCCATATTTCTTTTTTTGGTTTTTGTGCCACATGTGTCAGCTTACATATAAATATTTAATTGGGCTGAAAATTTCACAATTTTAAAATTCACTCCCTTTTGCATTTAAAATCCGATTACATGATACATACACGTAGTCCTTGGAGATTGTAAGACGAGACAATCAGGCGCTCAAACGATGACATATGCACTAACTACATACAAACATATTAATTTGCATACAAAAAAGTCAAGTGTCGTTAATGGTTTGTAAATGTGGCATACAATGCTCGCACATACCCTAATAGTGGCATGTGGATGAAGTGTTTGCAACAAAGATAAAAGGAAGTTCTTTTTATGAAGTGAGTGGTAAAAAATCATTAAGTTCTGAGATTTCGGTTTAACTATTTAATTAAAATGTTTCACAAAATTGTATTGTTTGGTATAATCATCTTAGTAACGTGTTAACGGTTGATTAGAGTAAGAGAGAAAGAAGTTTAATATATAGAAATTGGTTGCTAATAAATGTCTGAAAATAAAATTACAACATTTAGTTATAACTGACGAAAAACGAAAAATGAAAAGCTCATTAATTTTTTTTTACTTTTATGCATGTCTTAAATAATGATTTTTATTTTTCTGGTAGTGGGTGTGTTTTGAAACTTTTTCCAACCTCTAACCAGTTACTTTAAACTTTGATTCTAAGATAAGAATGCGCTTTTCGGTATGGCCATTAGCTCTTTCTTCGATTCTGACTTGATCTAATCATTTGTGGCAAAACACTTTACTCTCATTGGTTTCTTTAGTTTGGGGAATAGGAAGAAGTTGCTGGGAGCCAAATCAGGTGAATAATAAAAAAAAAATGGTTGACGTCATTCAACAATCGCTCAGACTAATGCGACATTGCTTTTGCTCAAAATTTAGCATTTTTGGACCAAACTTCGCTGCCAACAGGTTTCATGCTCGAAACATTCGAAAAAATTGAATGGCATGAGCCGATTGATAGGCCAACATCCTCTGCAACTTCCCTAATAGTGATTCGACGATTTTCAAGGACAATTTTTGTCCCCTGTTTCGATGTTTTCTTCGTTTATTAACGTGGTCGCTCATCGTCATCAACATCTTTTCGGCCTTCTGTAAATCGCTTGTACCACTTATAAACTCTTTTTTGAAACAAAATGGACTCACCGAATACCACAGTGCCTTGGAGCACTTTATTCCATTTTTAATGCAAAATTAATTACATTTCTTTGATCCATTTCTTTCAAGAGTCAAAAGTCGAAGAGCACACAAAAACGTGACTAACCTTTTCTGTTGTCAAAAACAAACTACTAATCGAAATTGGCTCCTAATGAAAGAACATGATAAACATATGTATCCGATTATAACAAAAACAAAATATCGATAATCGAATGTATACAGCACGCGAACAATCAAAATTTGCCTTTTCCTTTAAAAACACTTCGTATCTATGTACGACACCGTATACAGAAGAATAGTCGATTATAAGCGAACACATCGTTAATAGTCAAACAGCTGATCGCAAAAATTAATGTTAAATTAACAGTAGAAATTTTGTTTAAAATCCATTTATATATCCATATAGGTTTGTAGATTTGAATCATTTCGCTCTTTAATTCGTGATGGGCGACCTGCAATACCCCAAATGAAAAGTTGCTACATGTCAAGCTACTGCTTCATGTCAAAAGTACAACATAGTACAAAAAAAACATTATTTGCTCCATCTTAAGTTCCTTTGTTTTGTGTTACTCTGAATGTAATGACTTGACAAGCTTCATACCATTTCATTATTGCCCCCGACAATGTAATTTTATTTTTCGTGCCACAAAATGCCATTTCCTTAACCACATTTAGCCACAATACGATTTATGTGTGTGTGTGTCTCTCTTCAACACGTCTTCTTCTTACATTCTTGCGGCATGTGTGCTTTATCGGCGGCACTGCATTGTTTGCGCTTTGCATTTGGCTTACAAATGGCCTATGTAAACTTCCTGTGCATGGGCCATGGGCATTTTGTGTTGTTAACAACCATGTGAGTTTCTAAATTGATATAAATGTATTTTTTTTTGTGAGTTTTCCTGCATAGTTTTTGCCGCAATAATATTTTTTCTTTCACCACATGTTTGTAGTTCTGACGCTTCGCAAATGATTGCTGAATGTGCTTATGTCTAGCTAATACTGTTCGTCTTCAGTCAATTGCAGCATTTTCCGCTTAGCCATCCATCCATCCATATTCGTTTACTACATAAATCACTTACAACATTGCTACATACAATATATACATATTTCTATGTATTATATATATATATGCACTTACATATCTGTTCTATTAGCTGTTTTGTTTCAGCAGTCTGTCAGTCAAACATGCACTCACTTTTCCAAAGCCTGTCAGTCCGTCTGTCAAATGTTGAACTACATGCAACTTTTTGCATTCTGTCGCCTACAGCCAATTTTACATATACAAATCAATGCAAAAGCGTTTACATTGAAGCGTATATAGCACATACATATGTATATCTACTTGTCGTGCTCAAATCTCTCTTGTTTACCATGCATTTAGTTAAAATAACAACACCAGTATTGCAATTTCGAGTTAATTGCAGCTAAATACTTCAAGAATGTTACTGCCTAACGGTCTTTGACAAGTTATGGGCTCGCGTCCATTTCAAAAACGAACACACGATTTTGTAGAAATACCTAAAATAAATTTTTTAAACAATACTTAGTTTCAATTACCCGAAACTACATAGAATTCTGTCAATTTCGCTAAATTATAACTAAACGACTTTATTAGAAGTAATTATCCGTTGAAAGCACCAACCCTAATATATCGTTACGCATAGGAATTTTGTAGTATACAAGTATGTATCTTGACTCTTCCTTTTCTTTATATCTCTCTTCTCGCACTGCCTACGCTAGTTTGTCACATGAATATTACCACTGCTTAGGTGTTTTCATTACGTTTACGATTCGTATACCACAACACACGTTGTAAACCAAGGCGACCCATTGGTGTTCTACTCATTTCCTATTTTTATAATATGTTTATAATCTTTTAGTCTTCCTTATTTGTGTATCTGAAATTTGTTTCGTTCACTGTCAATTCCACGCACTTCCATTCACATACTCAAAGTGACTGGAACTGCTGTGAGAGCAAGAGAGCAGCGAAAGAGAGTGCAAATGGGAAGCCAGGTGGAGAGCTAGAGCCAAGAGTCGGCGGTGACATATGTTTGCATCAAACATTCTGTACCTACATTCGTAACAACAACAAGTAAGAAACAGTTTTGCTTGCTTGCAGCACTGTTTTGTTGCTTTTGTTGACTGCATTTGCAACGGAAATGGTAAAATACCAGCAAGCAACAGCAGCAACAATAATTTTTTGTGATTACTTTTTACGGTATTTGCTGCTACATACATGCATGTATATACATACATATATACTTGGGAGCTCTAATCAGCCACCAGGCACTCAGCAAGCAATTTGGGTAACGAAGAAGCTAAGCGTGTTTGTTATATGTGCCCTGCAACATTGTTGTTTTATAGCATCTAATTGCTGTAACAAAGTTTAGATAAATGAATGTCATGTGCGCTCTTTAATTTTCGCATTTTAAATTTTCCAATAAATTTGCTATTTAATTAACGGTATTATCGCAGCAACTAAGCCTGAAGTCTGAAATCTTGTGGGAACCAATTTTCCCTCCTGAAGTTAAAATTATCATATCATATTTCTCAGAAAGTATAAGAAATTACCTGAAGAAAATTTTAAGTTACTAAAGGTTTTTTTTAGCATTACAAAAACAATTCATTAAGTTTATCACAACGTTTTTGATTTCACTTTATAAAAGATCAAAGTCTTAAACAACATTTTACAATTTCTGATCGTAATCATATTAAAAATAAATCAAAAATAAAATAACTAAAAATAAACATTTCTATTTGCAGCAAAAAACTGAACTGAGTCCACCCGCACATCAAACACACAGCACCGATGCGAATAGCACGCAAAGCGGTGGCAACGGCTCTGGCAACAGCAGCCACAACTCCTCGGCCTCATCAGGTACAACATCCGCTTCAATATCCGCCTCAATCGCCACCTCTTCGGCGGCGTCAACACTCGCCACCACCACCGCCTCGCACAAATACACACTGTCAACGGATGCCAAAAGTGGTGGTGCAACAAATTTAAGCACCAGCAATGTCAACTCGTCGACATCGAATGTGCATAAATCGAACACCGCTGGCAATACAAATAGCAACAATAACAGCGGTAGCAATTCAAATGCACAAAATTACTCCAGCTCAAAGGAGCAGCATCATCGCGATGACCGTTACACAACACAGGCGCAAACGAATAACGCTGCAAATGCCGTCAGCAATGCAGCGAACGCGGCAGCCAACGCGCCCAGCCTATATGTCTCTGTGCCACTCTCCACCGCCAATGTACCTGGAATCAATCTACCAACAAGTAACGCAGCAAGTGGTGCTGCAACAGGTAAGAGCACGTGCGAAATAATATTCGATTCTACGATGAAATCTAGACATTTATCTAATCATTTCCATGTACATCACTTTTCCGTTCAGATCACCATGCGCCGCCATCACAATCAACGCGCGCTGCTGCAGCAGCTATAAGTCAGCAGCAACAGCATCAGGGCAGTTCTACATCAATGAATATGATTGGGGGCGGCACAGCGGGCGCGCATGCGGTTGCCACACCCACACCACTAGGTGTTGGTGGTAGTAGTAGTGGTGGTGGAGCTGGTGGACTGCTAGAACGGCAATCGCCACGCATACACCATCAACCGCCGGCGCTTTCCGAACATCATAGTAATAGCAACAGTAGTTATTTTGCTAGCTCGGCAACTGGTCTACCAACAGCGGCGCATAGCAGTGTCATACATCAGAGCGGTAAATCGCCATCGGGCAATATGATGTTGAGCGCAAGCAGCAATCCCAATTTGATGGCCACCACAACGGAGACTGGCAATCTGAAAATCAGTTATGAAAAGCAAACAACGCGTGTCAGTCAGCTGCAAGAGCAGGAAACAGCACCAGTGCGAAGGAGCAGGTGAGTGGCATTCAATATAAAGTTTTCAATGTTTTCTTGTTGCTGTGCTATCATGTTGAAGTAAACGCTTGTTTGCTCATTTGCGAACACATAAAACACGCATAAACAAAAGCACTTCACCGCCCAAAAGTTGTTTTGTATGCTTCTCTATTTTATACTACACAAAAAACCAAAATTAAATCCAACTAACACAGGCAGGAGCTGCGCGTAGCTAACACATACATTTTAATTCCCTCATCAAATATCAATTTTTTTTGTTACTAATATCAATTAAATTTATAGAGTTTTTAGTCTTTTGTACTAATATCAATTAAAAATATAGTTTATTCTTTTGTTTCTGTCACTTTTCTTTGCTGAAAAATCAGTTACTTTCTTAAATATCCTAGTTTAGTTACATATGTATTTGCTTTTGCTGCTGTTGTTGTTAACGCCAAACTTCGAATGCCGCCAACTATGTGTGATTAATCTAACTGAACACATCACGAAAACGATATATGGGAAGTATGATTTACAATGCAACGAAAAAGTGGAACGAGAAATGCAATTCTAATAAGACATTTTGGTGAAACGGATCACTACGAAAAATGTATTGATATTTTGTTGCAGGCACTTTCAAAGAGTTTCTCATTTGAATGACAGAAAATAGAAATGCCAGTAAATTTCTAAAAACAAAAAAAACAAAAAAAGACATCTATTTTTTGTAATTGTAATGTTTTGAATGTGGGCGTAAACGTATTAAAACGAACTACGAGTTGAACAATAAGAGACCCCACAAACAAATTGTTGGAATTGTTAATTGGAAAATCATCGTTACTTTTATTTTTCTATATCGCTGAAAGCTTTAAAAGTAAAAACATAAAAAAAATTATTTAGACCGATTAAAGTCTCCCAAGCCACGCGGCTTTAAAAAAATATATATTTTATTTTATAAATGTTATATACAAAGATCCAAACTGTTACTATATCTGCGTAATAAATTCAATACTAGCAGCATTTTCAAACACCACGATTTTGTACATACATATTTTAAAGTGCTTTGTTTTAGTTATTTTTCGATAAGTAATTTTTTTTGTCCGATATTATCTAACCACACACAAATACATGTATATATGCAAACCAAGTTGAACAAATTCCATACAAACATAAATTCTTGCTATAGCAAAATTTGAGAAGCAAAAGTTTATTTTAAATTGACTGCATACGACCAACACACATACATAAAACATACACATAACTATTTAGAGATGTGTAACTCGAAATTAATCAACAAAAAACTATTAATTCCCTTATTGATTAATATTTGCAATTCACCACACGCATCTACCCGCCACACACACACCCACATAATCATACAAAAGACAAACAGCAATTAAGCCAAATTTGAAGTGAATACTGAAGAATGTCAATATTTTTTCTCTGCTTTCTCTAATTTTTCTCTTAAATTAAAACAAAAATCTTAAATGCGTAATGAAACTTTTACTTAATAAATGTATACGAAAACTCACCACTCACGCATTGCAATGAAATGGCTGTATTCACTCACTTTCCACAACCAACCAACCTGCTACATATGTGCAATAGATCGCGTTCCGGGGAGAGTAGTATGCAAGCGTTACAGGCGCAGCATCTACAACAACACCATCAACAACAGCAGCAACAGGGTGGCCAATCGCAGCAGCAGCAGCAGCAACAACAAGCGTTGGCGACACAAAAAACCACTTCTCGCTCCGGTAAGAAAAGGGCTGCCGCTGCCGCTGCAGCAGCAGCCGCCGCCGCCGCCGCTTTGGGTGGTAACAAAAATCGCGATTCACCAATCGAAAAGCTAACGAAATCATCACCGTCGCCAATACAACAACATTTTCGCAACGAATTAGTAACACCAACACCACCACCAAACGCACCCTCACCACTCTCACTGCCACCGCCCAGCGCTTCGACACCGACACCAACACCCACACCTACACATACACCCTCACCATCACCGATTGTAATGCTGCAAGGTAACAGTAACAGCAATGCATCCAATACAGCATCACCAACAAGGCAAAAGAATGCCAACGGCAATGGTGGCAACGAAACGAACGGCGCCGGCAATGTCAATATCATTGGCGGAAGTAACAATGGTGGCGGTGTCAGTAGCGGTGTCAGTAGCACATCAACAAATCTGGTCGCGACGAACCTTACGCTGGCTGGTACAACATCCAGCTCGGCACTTACTTCCGCTGCTTTGTCTTTTGCCAGTCATGATTGTGACAGTGCTGGTGCCACTGTCAAATCGGTTAACAACAACGGCGAAGTGGTTAATCTTAGTTCTAATCAAGGCACTGTAAATAATGCCAGACGTGGTGGTGGTAATGCCTCAAGTACTGCTATAGAGGGTAGCAATATGAGCGCTACCGGAGCGGGTGCGTCTGGTAAGAACACAAATGATGCTCCGTTGATAACCACAAATCTAAGTGGAAAACCACTGAATAAGAAATTGTTACGTGCTCAACAAACGCTCTATCAGCAACAGTTGGCCGCGCAGCAACAACAGCAGCAGCAGCAGCAACAAAAGCGTTCACCTGATCACAAAAATGGTGGCGGTAAAAATACAAATCCCACCACAGGCGCAGCGGCCGCCACTTCCTCCAATTCCTCAACCAGTTCCCCATCCTCTAGCGCGGCCCCAGTTTCGCCTGCTAAAACTTTAACTACTCTAAAGAATACTAATCCTAATAGCAATCCTTCCACTGCTCCTCCCGCAAGTAACACTGCAACATCAACTGTTTTTACTAACACAACCACTAGCAACAATTTAAATAACAGTAGTAATAGCAATATTAATAACGGCAATAATAGTAGCAATAGCGCCACTAACACAAGTCAACTGCAAACGCAACAGCATCAGCAACAACAACAATCAGCTCAACAGCAACAGCAACAAAACAATGTTGCTGCTGCTAGCGACAACAATAATGATATCATTGAAATTTTGCAATTAACCCCAACCAACACTTCTACTTCTTCAACGCTAACTCATCATCAACATCATGCCTCTAATCATCCAACACAATCAAAAACATTGCAATCCCCTGCAAACATGGCAACAACTTCAACAACCACAACGGGTGGCATTCAACACAGAACGCCAGACAGCGGCATCTATTCCTCCTCGTCCTTTGTGGCGAACAGCAGCACCGTCTCGAATGCCTCCTCGAGCAGCAGCAGTAGTAGCGGTGGTGGCGGTGGCTTAAAATTCAGTTACGAACCTCAAGCCACGGCCATCGATTCGCCGGCAGCACATTTACTCACCGCCGTCACAACTGCGACAGCATCATTAACAGCAATGACGAGCAATATCACAACCACCACCTCCACCACGTCCATCAAAGACTCACCGCCCAGCTCACCAGGCTCCGAAATAGGTGCTATAACAACAGCGCCACGTAAACGCGGACGCAAAGCAAAAGATCCACTTGCAAATGCTAATGAGGTGAAAGTTGATGTGAAAGTGTTTCAGAATGGTGGTCATGTCATAGGTGCCACGCCTACAACCGCCGCTGCAGCAAATATGGCGAACAGTGTGCCATCAGGTGTGTCCAGTGGCGGTGCGACATTGCATACCGCTGCCCATATGCTCGGCAATCAACTCAATCCGAATAGCAATGTGGCGCAGAAGCTCTCCGACCAACTGCACATGGAAATACAGGATCACAGCATCTACACCACAGATGCGGTAACACCGCAATTCGTGGGTGTACCCTTCCCAGGCAAATCGATGGTGAGTTACAAAATTGCATACTCCATGAGTTTAATTCTTAATTTTAATACCACTTTTCTAAACAGCGCAATTCTACTTCGACGCCGATCTCAACTAGCAGCAACACGCTCACCATCAACTCAGTCAGCGCTGTAACGCCCGCAACAGAAATGACCGGTGGCACATCACTGGCATCGATGTTCGGCAGCGGTGTGAATGGCAATATGTCCATACCGCAAAGTTTGGAACAACTGCTCGAACGTCAATGGGAGCAGGGCTCACAGTTTCTCATGGAGCAGGCGCAGCACTTTGACAGTAAGTTGGTAATTCAATTAAACTGTATATTAAAACATAATAAACTGTTTAAAAAAATTTAGTTAAGAATTGTTATATAGAGAAATAAATTAAATATCTCTTGCATTTCACAGTCGCGTCCTTGCTATCCTGTCTACATCAATTACAACGTGAAAATGTTCGCTTAGAGGAACATGTGACCAGTCTGATAGCACGTCGGGATCATCTGCTGGCTGTTAATGCACGGCTCGCCGTCCCATTGAAAACGAATACTACGCAGAGCCAAGGTAAGTGAATTAGCGCACTGCGAAAAGAAATGTAAACAAAAGTATGAGAGCTTGAACAAGTGAGATAAAGAAAAATAATGCAAATCTGCATGGAACCATGTTAGATAACTAGGAAATTGCAAGTAGTACGCAAAGTTTCTCTCACATGTGTTTTCTGGAATGCAGGATATACCCACACACCCACAAAAAAAATCACTTTGCGCGGCTGCTTTTTCACTTACGGCTCTAAATTTCAATTATTCGAAAATCTAACAAAAGCTCACAAACAAACAAGCGAAAAATTTGTGCGAAAATATGCATACAAAATGAAAAGCCTACAAATATATATATATATATACATATAGTTTAGAACGAAATTCAAGTTTAAGTTTTTTTCTTTACTGTTTTTGGTGTTAAGCTTAAAATTAATTGTTTTTAATTTTTTATTAGTTTCTAGCTTTGCTATGTACTTTTCCTCTTTATTTTGGGGCCCAATATTTATATATAAATAATTTAATTCTTTATTATTGGTTATTAATTTCTTTTATAGTTGATTAAGTGTAACGTGCATTGGCCTTTTTGCTTTGGATTATAAATATATATATGCATATTCATAATTCTGCAATAAAACACAAATGATGCATTTTTGGAAACCCAAAATTTTTTTTCATGCTGATAGTTTCTTTATTATTTATTTAAACGACATACATATTAAAAACGTCATTTAAACCAAACGCAAACAAAATTCAATTGTACATATATTTGATTAGCATCTAAACATTTTAAGATTTAGTTAATACAACTTTCTTTATATTTATACTATATACATAACCTATGCACTAAGATGTGTGAGTGCACATGCATCAACGGTTGAATATACAATATTTGTATTTATTACAGATTTATTTAAATATAATTTACATACACCTATATATACATAAATCGTCAAGAAAAAAAATAATATAATTGCACATAAAATAATAATACAATAGTTTGCCAAAGCGGTAATGAAATGAGTACAAAAACAAATTTTGTTTGTAACAACTAAACAAAAACATGCATACTATATACATATATAGCACACGCACATAAACACATACATAGTTTGTAACTAATTAATATTAATTTTCTTTTTACAACTTTTGGTTTGTATAAAAATTATAAATTTTTCTTAAATTGGCTGGAAATAAGGAACACTGTTATTAAACTCAAATTGTTTATATGTATGCATGTGAATATGGGAATGTTTCCGTAGTATTTAATGAAGATGGTGTATAAAGAATTTTTCCAATAAAATTTTTCTAATTTCGCTGAAATACAGTTGTGACTACAACCGCACTGTAATTTAATAATTTGTACATTAAAAATTCCAAATTTCGATAAATCTTTAAGAATATAATAAAAAACATTGAAGAGCTTTCAAACTATCGGTACTCACTGCATACATATTGACAAACATTTTCATCACTCACCGCATCCATTGTCATGTCCACCACCCATACATATACGAAATCACACAATTAACACCAACCATTCGATCGCTTCTGTGCAAAATGCTTAATTTCAAAGTATATTAAATACATATATTTATATATAACAAACATATATAACATATATCTACTGTAACCATATGTATGTTATACTACTCAAAAATATTTACTTTATACATATAATTAGAATTTAAAATTATATAAAATATTTATTTTCCCACATCTCTGTCATATATTCACCTATAAACCAACCCACCAGTCAATCATTCACGTACATTTAAATTAATATTAATTAAATTAGTAATTAAAATTTTTGAAATTTGCTGAATATAAAATGAAAAACTTTAAAAAAATTTAAAATTAAAAAATGGTGTTTGTTTATTTTCTTTACATTATCTTTTTATTGAAAAATAATTTTTAAAACTCCTTTTGTGTGGCCATAGGTATAGTTGATTTTCCCCCAACCATTCCAAATAGAATACACATGAATGTGCTTTTATGCAATAATTTATTTTAGCAAACAAAATCCTATAACTTCTACTTTGGACAATTTCATTTAATCCACTATACTGTCTCTCGTTTCAATTATATGTATGTATCTATACACATATATATATACATATGTATATATTGTATATTCCACTGAAAATTCTCTTATGTTTCTCAGCATTTTCTTGATGTTTCAAAATTTATTCGGTGTTTTTTATCTGCTAGTTTTATATTCACGGCAACGGTTGGCTTTTTTTATTCACTATTCTAGCTTATCTCGCATCAAATCTTTTCTTGGTACAAGTTGGTTCTCGTATAATATTGATTAGGTTATTATTGTACGTAACGAATGTCGCATAAATCCGTTGAGTTTAACTGGTATATTGCATGTGTTTGCCGCACATTACTTACGAGTGGTAACTAGTTATCCGCTTTTGTCTAGAGTCGGGTTAAGATATTAAATTTTCGTTGAAATTCGATCGAAACTAGAATGCGAACGCATAAGCACACAAATTTTGAAGAGAAGATAGCTTTTTATATTAAGATAGAAGTTCAGTTTAACTAATTGTTTAGGTTATATATTTCCTATAAACCGCAATTTTTCGTTTAAACACTGAATAAAATGCAAATCCAAAGCCCTTACTTTCCATCATCCATTGAGAGGCATAAGACCTTACCCCTATATAGCTTTTCCTTAAAAAAAAAGTACAAAAAGTTTGAACTGCAACTAACGATGTTACAGCCACGGCCGTATCATCGGCAGCGATATCCACCAGTGTTGCCACCGTCTCGACAACAGCCGCAGCCGCAGGCGTTGTGACAGCGACAGCGACCTCGGCAATAGCAGCTGCCTGTGCAGCAGCAGCAATAGCAACAACAACTGCAGCGGTTAATGCGCTTGGCGGTAACAATGCCGGCACTGGCGGCGGAGCTGCTGGCGGTACTGGTACCATTGGCTCTGGCAATGCCGGCACCGCTTTAACAACGGTTGTAACGGCTGCTGCAACATCACTTGCCACCGCAGTGACCACATCGCTTACTGCTATGACTGTGAATACACGTCTGCCCAATACGGCCACAACGGCTTCAACCGGTGCAGGCGGTGGTACACCAACATCGCGGCTAAATACAATTGTGCAACAGCAGCACGTGTTGGAAAATGGCATCGACTTTCGGCAAACAAGCGCAGCAACAACGACAACGTCAGCGCATGTTGGCACAGTTGGCAGCGGTGGAGGCGTTGGTCCATCCATGGGCATGAGGTGAGACAAAAAGTCAAAAAGGAAACATTGAAATTCGCAACTTAACTATTTGTTTTTTGTTTTCTCAATTTTTATTTCTTTTTCTTAACGCTTGTCAACTCTCCGCCACATATTTGTCATATTTGTTGCTCATTCACATCATATCGCTATCCCGCTATGTTTGTGCCATATATATACATACATATATATTCGACTGCATTTGTATGTTTATGTTGAAACTTAGGCACTCCACGGCCAGCTATGTAAATGCCTCAGGAATACCTGCCACCAGCATGGCGGGCAATCTGTCAGCAACAATGCATCCCAATAGTCTCGAAGGACTTAGCAATATGCATACAACAGCTGCAACCACAGGTGGCACAGCTACTGCCGTTGTTGGTATGTCCACTATGACGGCAAATCGTCTTGCACAGCAACAACAACAGCACCAACAGCACATGCAATCATTGCATCAGCAGCAACAGCAACAACAACAACAACAGCATCATCAAATGTCGCTAGCGGCCGCACAGCAACAACAACAACAACAGCAACACATAGCACAAAGTGCGGCCGCAGCAGCGGCCATGCATCATCACCAACAACAACAAGCTGCTCATACGCACTTGCACGCCACCCATCCTCTACATCTAGCACACACGCATTCGCATGCACCGCACGTGCACACGCATGCTCCTCATACTCATCATGCACATCAAACGCATCCGTCTGCCACAGTTAACGTCAACGCCGGCATCGGTGTCGAGCCACATTCACTTGCGTCAACACGTCTCGGTGGCGTCGGTGGAAATGGCGGCATGGTGGGCATGGTTGGGCCACACATTGGCAATAATAATAATCCGAATAACAGCAACAACACCGCGGCGTCACGAGGTGGGTCAACAACCGCGACGACAACAACAACATATGCTATTGGTAGTGGTGTGAGTGGTGATGGTGGTGGTGGTGTTAGTGGAAGTGTCGTTGGTGGCGGCGGTGGTGCCGGTAATACCACATTACTCGCATCGGATAGCAGCCACCCCACATCCGCCGCCGCGTATACTCCTCACTCGCTTTATACACATCATCAGGTAGTAGTGGTGTGGCGTGATGGCTTGTTAAATGTTTAATGTTCCAAAAGAATGTTCAAAAACCAATTCATAACAATCGATTATTCAGCATTCGAATACTAATTGTTTTCCAACAGACAAAACAACTCATCAACTTTTTAGCATTAACATTTAAGTGTTTGTTGTTTATCAAAATTTTAAAATTTATGTATAAGATATTTGTGAATTGCCTTAAAATTGATTTTTGGTTTGATATTAATACCATTTTCACTACTTAATTATTGCCTATGGGCAATTATAAGTTGTTTGAACGACAGTGACCGGTTTACATAAACGGAATTTGACACAAAATTATACGCGTTCCTTTGGACGCCTCTGCAACTGGATTTCCCAAAACTATTTGCGGAATATTTACTCTGCTACAAAAACCACCATACTTGTTTTAATAAATTCTAATTTTATTTTTGCAACCTAAACTAAGAAATCTACATGATTTTTTGTTCAACCCGTACTATTGGCTACGTGTCAAAACCTTTTTCTCAATTTTTAATCAAATAAATTACAATTGTTTTCTATAACAACAAACACATTGCAGTCATCATTATCATCATAATCATTAAAATAATTGGAATTTTGAGCTAAACAAGATATAAATGTGTTAATTGTTAAAAAATATATTAACCACCCTTTCCCTACTTTGAAACAATGTTGAAATTATTCTTAAATATTTTGTAGCAGAAATGAAAAACAGAACAAATTGCTTGCAAAAATTATTAAAATTCTCATCAGGCCACATCAGTCACTAATCACCAACAACAACAACAACCACACATCATTGTTTAATGTTGGATTATAACATAAAAGCAATATTTTCAATGCAAAAATGTATTAACAATTTACTGTCATTTTACTTTCTTCTCCACATGCACTAACGTCACATTCTAACGGTGCAACAATAGTCACCGCTAAGGCGCGACGATAACCTAGTAAAGCCCAGCTGAAAATCGACAGCAGCTTTATTGGCCTTTCGCCCTAGCCGCCAGCCACAACAGCACACAACAGACCGGCAGCAGCAGCAGCAGCAACAACAAGCAGGAAAACGAGCGTCAAAAAAAGCAAAAACAAAGGTAGAAAAGGCAGCGTTGCAACAAGCAGCCAGACAACAACCAAAGTTACAACAAAAAACGAAATTGCAGAATTCTCAACAAAAAGAAGTGCAGCAGCGACAAAAATCGACGAAACAAGCAGAAGAAGCAGCTGCCGACAGTGATACTATTAAAATTTCTTCCGATGAAGAGCAAACTTCGTCTAAAACAAACAACACAAGCCGCGTTACAGACGATATTTACACGCTTGCCTGCAATGCTGCTTCATTTGAAGAACAAAATCGCTGTCGTATACCCAGTGCTAGCCCGTGTGATAGCAGCAATTCATCCTCGGCTATATCCTCCTCTCTACGTTCGTTAGACTATGAAGCCGAAGCCGACGAAGAGGATGCCAATGAATGTGACGGTGTAGAATTGCAGCGCAAACTTGCTGGTGGCAATGACAATTTGATGCACGTGCAGAATTTCCTCAATTATTTCGATGGACAACAACGACAACAACAGCAGCGGCAGCAACAAAAACAAAAGACCGCAGCAATTTGTTATGTCGCACAGTTGCAACATGATATGTTGCGTCCACAAGAGGTGCACAATGTGAATAATTATATGACAATGGGTTCAACAGAAGCCAACCGTCTTAGCACGTATGTTGAGCAACACGCATTCGATGAGTTGTTGATGCCACAGCAGCAATTGGATTTCATATCGGCAGTTGCAATCACGACTACCGCATTGACAACAACAAGTACCACAACAACCACTGCGAGTACTGCGAAAGCAAGCAGTAAGCCAGGTAAATTCACAATTTCAACAAAGTTTTTACGCAAGCCGCGTCACAAATTGAAATCCGTGAGTTTAGCGCCAACAGCGGATGTAAACAGCGCATTGGTAAAAGCAACGACAACAATTGGTGGTGATAAGCAGTTAATATTGCATGATCAGCAACAGCTCAGTGAGAATAAACAGTTGGTATTGCAACAAGAACAACAGCAACAGCAGCAACAACAACAACGACAACAACCACAATGTGCCGACGAACCGAATGTGAAATTCAATTCGAATTTCTCTATTAATTCACTTTTGAACAAAAAATAATGTTATTGCGAAGCCAAATTGAATTTCCGTTATATATACTCGTATTCAACTGTGGCCATCAATATTTATTCATATAAATTATAATGATAGGAATTTAACCATATTTCAGCTGATAAAAATTTTAATTTTTTTTTAAATCACGACATTTCATTAAACGCGAAAATTTTATTTCTTTTTTGACCCCCCCCTTATATATGACTACCAAAGCAACACTGAGACGTAAAAGTTTACATTTTTGCAATAATAAAAAATATTTTCAAGGCTAACGGTTCTTTTAAATACTCAAATAAAATTACTATAATATTTTTATTAACAAAAGCAAAAGAAATACTTGTATGAAAATCACATATAAACCCACCAAATTCACCACTTGTAAACAATAAACAGTCAGCTGGTTGCCAAAACCAGAAAAAGCCTTTAAACCCATAGTCAAAATCAGTAAATAACTGTTTCTAAGCGCATACCACAGTTGCCAATTAGAAAACATACATACATATGTATATTTAAAAGTAACCTTTATATATACTAATCATTTGTTATTCTCAATAATAAATGCGCGATTATATATGATACGATATAGCTGAACGAAGATTTCCCTTTAAAATTTGAGTAAATCCCCTCGATATTGTCTACTATTTATTACCATGTAAGTATGTGTAATCAACGAACAATTGTCCCTAATAGCTATGTAAGTTGTAATTTTAACCAAAACTATTATAGAAGCACCTACATTTTGTTTATGAAATAGTCTTTTAATTAGTACTTTTTGTTTTAAAGTCAATGACCACATAATTTTAGCGAATTAACGAAATAATTAGTGCTTGTTCGTCTACCTATAAGTACTCATAGTAATAAAAGTTTATATATATATACTCAGCTAAATAACAACGTGCGTATGTAACTGTATAATTTATGTTTGAAGAAGCACATTGTATATATATAGTATAAAATATTAGGCATAACGACTATAAAAAATTTAAAGAAATAAAATTATTAAAGCATCCGCTAAACATTTCGAAAAAAAAAACGCTTTTTTCATTTTTGTTTAACACACATTGCTAGTATTACCAAAAGAACTCCGGTTATTTATCGTCATTTATGCCGCGAACAAGCGTAAATTTGCTCCGAAGTTTGTAACACCCAGAAGAAAGCGTCGGAGACGCTATAAAATATCATCCCATTAAATAAATCACATAAATGAGCAGCGTGATGAGCTGAATCGATTTATATAATTTTCGAATTTTAAATAGGATTTGCGTAAACGCTCCTGCCACCGAGAGCCCACCTTAGCAGCTATCATAATTTCACGCTGCATTTCCTGCATGGTATATACGATAAATACGTATCCCCCACAGCTGTATATAACTGTGTATCACCTGCCAATTGATAGAAGTATTGCAGATCAGAGGTATTCTTCAAAATTCTTGTTTGCTTTTCTCATTTCATGTTTATATGTACATATGTATGTGTGTATGTAAATCACGATAATTAAAAAATGTAAGAAGTATTCAAATTTCAATTCTACCGAAAACTGCATACACAGCCGTACTATGTCTATGTATATGCGTATCATTTTGCCAAGATAAATAATAACAAACAAGAGTGTGGTGAGATAATTTATATATATGAACGTGATGACATATATATGTACACCCAGTATGTACATATGTATATGTATGTAGTCAGTGATAACTTCAGCATCATATTTGTACAGGCTTATATTAGGACGATCTGATATCGACAACTTGTCTCTTGATTTTTAAAAAAGTTGTACCTCAAGTAAACGGATTTGCTACTAAAACAATAAATTCTGAAATTTTTATAGAAAATAAAAAACGCTAAGCAAACAGTACAACAGTAAGTTAAACGCGTAGCCAAAACAAAATATTCAATTCAACTTTATTATTAAATGGAAGCCAATGCATTACTGTTACATTACTGATAAGAAGAAACGGTTAATTGCACTTATGTAATTTTAGCCTAAAATTCACAACTTCATATATTTTCAAGCAACGCATCGCAGCTATAAAAGCATCAGCTTATGGGGCGGATTGAGTAGTTATTCAAAATACGGTAACGGTATATTTATTTAAAAACGCCAACAAACATCGGCAATACGATCGCAACAGTGCCGCCGACTTGCAAATATATAATAGTGTTCATGTATACATGTGCCTATATGTGAAGAAAATTTACAAAGTCATACTAAATAATTACAATTAAAATATAAATAAATAAATGAAATCAAAATGAACCGGCTTCTAATAATTTCTTTGGTGATAAATGTATTTGGAGCGCTGTGTGAAGGTACTTCCTTTGAGGAGTTATACACATACATATACTTAGATATACGTACACAATTACTTTTTCTCTAAAAAAAAAATATTTTTAGAAAAAATACAAAAAAATATAATATATAATAGGTTATCATAATAAAAAAAAAAATTATACAATCGGTATTTTCAGTGCAAACATCTTATACATTTCTAAGTAATATTTAAATCTATTGGTTATTATTATTTGATATTGATTTCCATGCAGATTAATAATATCTGCCTGTTCGTATGGGAAATTTAACTGTAAATATTTCGGCTAAGTTATGATATTTATTATGTTGAGACTCAACGCATTCTTCCAGTCACGACATACTGAGCTCACAACTATTACCTACTTTGAGTGGTCCGATACTTTTATTAAGATATTTACTAGCGTTCGGAAAGATTTTAAAGGTCATTGATTTCCTTTGAACAGTAGCTGTACCGAATAGATAAGCATAACCGCCATATCATTTTGTAAATGAAGAAAATCAAGCCGATCGTTTGCAATTCAAAACCACTGAGCTTATTTCCGTCAACAAAAATCCTTAAAAAGCCTCCACACAAAAATCCAACAGCAATTCAAAGGCTTCTTTATATTAGTAGATTGTCTATTGAAAACTAAGATACAAATCAGAAAGAAGTAGATCGGTCAATATAATCTACGTATATGGAAATATAATATAAGCTGGTGTTTATAAACGCTTTACTCTCGATATTGTACAAGTATGTATCTTACTCCAAGAACTTGGTGACTCAGGCACATTAGCCGCATTTAAGCGGTTATTGGAAATTCAGGGCTTCAAAAAAAAAAATTATATTGTCTTATTTAATTCTACTCTCTAGAATATTGTCTTAAATTCTCAAGTTGATCCCAATTGTTTTGAGGTACAGCTTTGAAAAGTTGCGCGCTCGAGGTTAGCTTTGTAGTCACTAAAAATTTTAAACGCGTTTTTCTCCAAACTCTGTTTTCAAAGTCGGTTGTCAAGATTACTCGCGTACTACTCAATCGATCATAATGGAATTTTAAACAGGTCTTCAAAATATCCTTTACAAGGTCTTGAATTCAATTACAATTATCTACTTTCAATTACAATTATTTAAAACAAAAAAAAAACATCGAGAAATTTTCACTAAAATTTGCATGTTTTCATAAAAACGTCTGCCAATAATACAATTTTCACTTTATTTGTTTTTTCTCCTTCGAATACTTAGTTAATGGTCTTAGTTCAAGCACGTATCTTTTTTTTTTTTTTTACTTTTGATGATCCTGTCAGTAGTTCTGCTGTCAACGCGGAAGCACCCTTTTTCCGAGGGACTGGCGAAAATGACGCCGTAATAACCGAGTTTTCCATATTTTCCTTTAAAAATTTTACAAAGTCTTTATCAAATATGTATCTTCGGGATGAATAAAATATTTCATTTTTTTTATGAAAAAAATATTATTGAAAATATGTTTGTGGTGTTTTTTCTCGACAAACTCCATGTAACCCCTTAAAAACTATGTAAATGATAATGGTCGGTAGATTCATAAATATTATTTACTGCGCATGATCGGCTTAGAGCACTTGAAACACTCGAAAGTAATTTCAAAAATCATCTTTTCTTATGCCAAGCCTACCTTAGCAAATATGAGCAGATGCTGCAGCTCTTTCCACAGCCCACGTATGCAGAGGCCAAAGCTTGGCCCAGCGGTAGCTTTAGAAATTTCGCTGATCACCATTGCAAACGCACGTGTCGCGCAGATCAGTCCATGACATGCTACTACTACTTCGTCGTGCACTACGACGATACCTTTAATCCGAGTTGTGAGCGTTATCTCGAACAACAATTTCGCTTTAGGGTTGGTGGGCGTGAGTACATCGACACATATGCCGTGCGAGATTTTGATGGCTTCGACGATTGCAAGTATGCGGATGGCGTAAAGACGGAAGTTATGGTTGTTAACGGCCAATTACCAGGCCAAACGATCGAAGTATGTCAAGGTGACACGATCGTCGTAGATGTTATCAATAGCATGCATGACATCACCACTATACACTGGCATGGCTTGCATCAGCGGCAAACACCGCATATGGATGGTGTGCCATATATTACGCAATATCCAATTGAACCCGGTCAAGCGTTTCGTTATCGCTTCGAGGTGGATCATATCGGCACACATTGGTGGCATAGTCATGTGGGACATCAACGAGGTTTCGGCATAGCCGGCGCGTTGGTGGTGAGACAACCAAAAGCGGAGGATGTACATGCGTCTCTATATGACTTTGACTCCTCGGAGCACACAATCATGCTACAGGATTGGATATATAATCAAGAAGACTTAGTGCCGCAGAGTATACTAATTGATGGTGTTGGACAGAAAATACCAACAGTAAATGGTAGCAATCCGACAAAAACGACGCCAACGCTTTACGCAACCTATTCTGTCGTGCGGGGCGGCAGATATCGCTTCCGTGTAATCTTTAACGGTGAAAGAAAATTAATTATCACTTTTTTTTTTATATGTAAGTCTTTTCGTTTATTTTCAAACCCTTCACAGGTATAGCCAATTGCCCGATAAGCGTGAGCATCGACAATCATGAACTCGTCGTCATTGCCAGTGACGGTAATGACATTGTACCCGTAAAGGTGAGCAAGATCACATTGAATGGCGGCGAACGTTTCGACTTTGTCTTGCACGCCAACCAAGCAGTTGAAAACTATTGGATACGCGTTAAGGGTTACAACTTTTGCAAAATTAATCAGTTACATCAGGAGGCAATATTGCACTACGAGGGTGCCAAGCGACGTACACTACCCAGAGCGAAAGTGTTCTATGACTACGAACCTTATGGCAAGGAACTGAATACCGTCGATAAACCACCCAACAATGATGAAAATCTAATTACAATTGTCGATTTGAAAGCATTGGAGAAACGTTCGGTACTGGCGCCCGTTCCACAGCACACCTTTTACACCAGCATGACCGTGCGCACCAAAAATCAGTTGCTCTTTCAGATGGACGATATCACATTTACAATGCCTTCACGCGTCTCTCTGCTACAGTCACGTAATCTAGGTATTGGCCAATTCCTCTGCAACAAAACCCAACAAGCTGCAATGGGTTTGGATTGTCGCAATCGTAATTGCAAATGCGCGAATGTGATCGAGGTGCCGGCTTTTAAGGATGTCGAATTCGTGATTTCAAGCACCACCGAAACGGCGCATCCCATTCACTTGCATGGCTACACATTTCGTGTGGTGGGCATTGGCGTACTGGGAGTTGATCGCATTCAAAACGTGAGTAAAATAAGCAGCTTTGAATTTCCACCACATTTACATACATACTTGCATATATGTGTAAACTTTACAGATCGAAGAGATTGATCGTCGTACTCCATTGCCGCGTCGGGAGCGAGGCGCACCACTTAAGGACACTGTACAGGTACCAGCCTACGGTTATACAATACTTCGTTTCTATACGGATAGCCCTGGTTATTGGATCCTGCATTGTCACATATCGACGCACTCGGAGATGGGTATGGCCGCAGTGTTGCGCGTTGGTGTACACAAAGAAATGAAGACGTGTCCGGTGAGCAACTGTGGACTTTGTAATTCCGTGTTCTAAGGCGAAAATCATGAGAATCTCCAGTATTATTATTTTTTACCTGAAGGAAAGAGATATATACATACATTTACATCAATAAAACTAATAATTAAAGAACATTATTATACGTTTTTAAGGACTTCACAGATAATTTTATAGCTGTAACAGTTATGTCGAATATGACTAGTGTATACATACATATGTATATAATATATGATGTTAGACGAATGGTTTGAAATGATGTTAATTCTGTACCAAGAAAATGTGAGCAGGCGCTCTATCTGCGAGTTTAAAATGGTCTGAAGTCGGCGGTTAAAAACATGTCAACAATTTTAACTTCAGATGTCGGAAACGCATTTAAAGCAAATAAAATTTAATATGCGCTGTTTTGAAATACATCTTCTGAGTTTGGAATTTCACCCGAAAAAAATAACTAAATTCGTTTTGAGCGTCAGCTTTATTTAACATATGTATGTACATGTGTGTATGTAAGTTGCTACCGTACACCACTCTTCAGATAGTTCGCTATGTTCGGCCGACTGGCCGATTATTACATTTTTTACTCCCCAAAGCAATATTTCAGAAACATACCCAAAAAATATGAATGAGTTGGCAGTCGTTGGCCAGATAAATATCCGGGACCGTTCCGTTGTCGAAGACTCACGTTCGTGTGAAAATATTTCAACGCAATTATAAATTATGTAAAGTTAGGTTGGCTAAAAAAATAAAGCTGCTGACGTCAAACCCTTTTTACGCTTATAAATCCGCACGTCTTCCTCCAAACAAAGAAGGCTTGTAAGGCAACTCAAAAAAATATACACTTAATAAAACTATCATATACAGCAAAACATAAAATCCAGCTTCATCAATTTTGTACACACAAATATTTGTTTATTTAAATATTAAAGGAGAGTTCACATAACACGTATAGAAATTGTGATATTAAAAACATAATCCTTTGACTAAAAATTATATGATTCTCTAACAGTATTATCTGCATTTTTTGTATATATGTATGTTTGTATAATTAAAATAGTTGATTCACGCCAGCTCCATCTTTAACTTCCATTTACAAATCGATACCTTCTTGTGCAGCTAAAATTGCCTTAATCTTCATTAGTAGTTCTTTTTTTACTGCATCGGGAACAGAGGCACGAGCGCGTGGTGTAACATCAGCAATCAATTGTTCAACTTTTATGTTGTTGCCTTTCTCCTTGATTATATTACGGCACATCAGACGCACCTCATCACGCCAACCGCACTCAGCCAAACGATTACATAGCAAGTCTTTCAACCTAGTACAACAAATACGCATTAACTCAATTTTATTTTTATTCTGCATTGTAATGTACCGGTAATAGCAGAGATTAATAGACAGTTCAAGAATTATGTTCTTTTGTACTTACTTGGAACGATCACCACTAAGGATTGTAGCCTGATCCACAGTCTTTGTTAATGTCATGTCAGTTAGTAAATAATATAAAAATTTGATATTATTTTCGAAAATATTGCAAATATGACCGACTGCTTGTATTGTCTCAAAAATATTTTGCCTTTACTTTGGTTCTTGCAAATTGTTTTATGCCGTAGTACGGTTTTGTTTACAACACAGAATAAGTCACAAGTCGACGAAAATGTGCACAAAACAAAAATATCGATAAATCTTTTGATAAGATGTAGTGGATTTGGGGATTTATAGAAAAATAAACATTTTTTTCAGATATTGTGCTATTATGAAGGAAATTTTAGTATATTTTATGTAGTATTTGTCCAATTGCCGTATAAAAAACATATACACAAAGATCAATGACTAAAATAGTAAAGTGTATGAAATACAAATTTTAAATGCCAAAACTCCGGCGGCAACTTCTGTCGGTAAGGCAGTTCATTTACTACTGAATTTTATGCCCTTTGCTATAGCTCTTCCCGAACATGAATGAAATTAATATTGACTGAATTAATAGCGGAAATTTGAGATTTAACACGATAACAGTTATGAAAAAAGAAAAAAATGTTAATTACATTTCATTTCCATCTTGTTTAATGTCCCAACTTTTACTGTACATATATTTGAACTACAAATAAAAAAAACTTGAAATAGCTGATTTATTCATAACTGTTATTAAATTTGAACTAAATGAAAGTTTCTCATGCTTCCAAGAGAAAAACTAATGTCTAAAGCATTTGTATGAATGTATGTATATTAATTTAGTTCCAGTATTTTCAATACAATTATAAGCACGATCCCCAAATTCAGTAAAGTTTAAAGTTTAATGCCAGGTATAATTTACAAAATTGAGTATTTGCATTCATTCAATTGAACATATGTTGCTAATTTGCCACAAAAACAGCAGTGATCCATGAAAACAGTAACACATATTCATATAAATAAATATAAGTATATATATACACACATACATATGTATATTAATCAGACGATCAATGTTGAATTTGCAGAAGTGAGTAGCTGTATCCGCTCACACAGCATGGATTTGAGCCGGCCTCCGCAGTGGCCATACTTGGTAACTTTTCAGAAACTAGTTTCCATACACTGTTGAGTATTTTATTACATCTACATATACATATGTATATGAATGCATGTGTGTATGACTAAATTTTTTTGGTGTGGCTTTGCCTTTAAATGGTAGAGAATTTTTTCTTGCATCACTGGCCAGTTGATGTGGTTTGTAGTACTCACCCAATAATTTCACCCATTTTTAGCCGCTCCTAAGTACATATACGTATGTATGTACATATTTATGAACATATGTAAGTATATTCAAGTTTTATACAAGCATATCTACAAACATTTGCGTTGATCTATTTTCGCTGACGTCGCCATCTTAATAAATCTATTTTGAAAGATGGAGATGTAAGATGTATTTTAGACTCTTCAAAAATGGAAATACTTTGAGAGAATGCTGTGCAATCAACTAACTGCACATCTGTGTATATATAGACGACTAATTTAATTGTCTGTATGCATGTAGGCACCTACCTTTCACGACTTTTACTCGTTGAAGTTGAAACAAACCAAAAATTTAATAAGTTAATGAACGAAAATGACAGATGTTCGCTTTTAGCAAAATTTCTAAATTGTTAAATAATTCTTTTACTAAGATACCGTTGGAAAGTAAAATAGATGTTTACAAATTTTCCAAAGAGCTCAGTTAAGTAAGTAAATTTGTATGTATGTAGATACATATTACATACATACGTATATCTATTTAATGGCGAACATTTGCAATTTAAAAATTGGATCAACACTATTACAAAAGTTCAGTCCTTTACTACCGGATTAATCAGTTTCAATATCCTGCTTTAATTTTTGTGTCATTTATTGATATTATAGTTTTATAAAGATATAAACACTATGTATATAGTATATCAATGTATTATGATAGTAATTTCAATATAAATTATAGATTTTGGCAAATCAATGTATGTATGTCAGAAGTTATTATTATAAAAAAAGGTTTATTCTTCTATCATATTTACTTGTTGTATTTTCGTTAATTTGGTGTTTTTGAATTACTTCTGCACAAATGACCACTTGCATTTTAAATACTTACGTATGTACATACATATGTACATGAGTGCACACCCAAAAACCTCGCTTTACAATGAATGAGGAAAAAATATCGATTTTTTAAAGGGCGAACACTGCGTTGGAAGGATAATGCGGCAAACAGAGAATCCAATGAGTCATGCTTATATATGTATGTATATGTAATATAAGGACGGGCTACCTAGCGACAGTTGTGCAGGGTATATGTATGTATGTATATTCTTGTTATCTGCAAAGCGAATAAGGGTGTATTTCATAGATACATACCAACGTGCGTTTATTGAACAAACCGTTACCTACTTTAATAACATCGCCCTGTGTAGAACAAAAAAATGTGGATGTAGTATATATGTATGTATGTATGGCTGTATATTTGTATGCACTTCTGTATGTACTACATAACATTGCAGCTGGCGATAAATTACTATTTCCAACAAAATATATAAAATGTAATTTCAAAAGTCTACAATATTTTTATTTACATATGTATTGTACATATATATATATATCTATATATACAGATATATGAGAATACAAAATAATAACATTTAAGCTCAACAACATTATAGCTTATTTGGAAATCTACATTTCTCAACTCAGCCAACGCTTTGATGATGATGATGTCATGTGCGCATAAATACTTCACGTTGGTGTTGTTATAATCATGCGATGTAGTCACCAATGACGATGTCGACAGCGTTGTTTTCAATTTAACCAAAATAAAAATCAATCTCAACATACTTATGTACATACTAGTTATAAGAGTACATAACATTATTATGTACATACATATATGCACAATCTTCAAAAACCTATTCACAACAAACTGAATGGCTCCCAAATAGCAAACAAACGTAGCAGGGGAACTAATTACAGAAACTTATTTTTGGACCATAATGAGATCACTGATAATCGCATTATGAAGTTGCAGTGCATGAATATAATAGCAAAGTAAACCATAAATGACTATCTAGAAAGCAGCTAAATTAAATGTGTCGGCGTAGAAAGCGTGAAATGCATTTAGACCTACAAACACAACGCTATAAATACCTAGTAGCTCGGGGGCATTGAACTTAGGCGCTGGGAAAAAGGTAGACGACTGGAGATGTTTGCAGCTCCTCACTTAAATCTTCAAATACACAATTACCTTAATACTAGTTTCTATTTACCCCACCCATTTGAATTGAAATACATATTTTTGAACTTCAAATGCAATTTTCATTTAATTTACTCTTCTTTTTTAGTATTCTTGTGCATGTTTCTTTTTCAATGTTCAATTTTTTTTTGTATATTATAATCGTCAAAAATTATTCGTTTTACTCCTTGATTCGAACATCAGTTTTGTTCAACTTAAACAAAATAAATTTTCAGCAATGGGTATGCTTCTTTCAATACGCTCTTCATTCCGTTGTTTAATATTCTTCAGCACCTTCACCTTCACCGTCACCAGAGTCCATACCGACTTCCTCGTAATCTTTCTCGAGGGCAGCCAAATCCTCACGAGCTTCGGAGAATTCACCTTCCTCCATACCCTCACCGACATACCAGTGCACGAAAGCACGCTTGGCATACATCAAATCGAATTTGTGATCCAAACGAGCCCAGGCCTCGGCAATGGCTGTGGTGTTGGACAACATGCAGACAGCGCGCTGCACCTTAGCCAAATCGCCACCAGGCACCACAGTAGGTGGCTGGTAGTTAATACCGACTTTGAAACCAGTGGGACACCAATCCACGAACTGGATGGTGCGCTTGGTCTTGATGGTAGCAATGGCGGCATTGACATCCTTGGGCACAACATCACCACGGTACAACATACAACAGGCCATGTATTTGCCGTGACGTGGGTCACATTTCACCATCTGGTTGGCAGGTTCGAAGCAAGCGTTGGTGATCTCAGCAACAGACAATTGCTCGTGGTAAGCCTTTTCAGCGGAAATTACAGGAGCATAGGTAACCAGTGGGAAGTGAATACGTGGGTAGGGCACCAAGTTAGTTTGGAATTCAGTCAAATCCACATTGAGGGCACCATCGAAACGCAACGAAGCAGTAATAGATGACACAATTTGGCCAATCAAACGATTCAAATTGGTGTAGGTAGGACGTTCAATATCCAAGTTACGACGGCATATATCGTAGATAGCTTCGTTATCAACCATGAATGCGCAGTCCGAATGCTCCAGTGTTGTGTGTGTGGTCAAAATCGAGTTATATGGTTCGACTACAGCAGTCGACACTTGAGGGGCTGGGTAGATAGCAAATTCCAGCTTTGATTTCTTTCCATAATCGACGGAGAGACGTTCCATCAAAAGGGAAGTGAAACCAGAACCGGTGCCACCACCGAAGGAATGGAAGATGAGGAAACCTTGCAGACCAGTACATTGATCGGCCAATTTGCGGATACGATCCAAAACCAAATCGACGATTTCCTTACCAATGGTGTAGTGACCACGGGCATAGTTGTTGGCAGCGTCTTCCTTGCCAGTGATCAACTGTTCAGGGTGGAACAATTGACGGTAGGTACCAGTGCGGACTTCATCAACTACAGTGGGTTCCAAATCGACGAATACGGCGCGAGGAACATGTTTGCCGGCTCCGGTTTCGCTGAAGAAGGTATTAAATGAATCATCACCACCGCCGACAGTCTTATCAGAAGGCATCTGGCCATCAGGCTGGATACCGTGCTCCAAGCAGTACAATTCCCAGCAGGCGTTACCAATCTGGACACCAGCTTGACCGACATGGATGGAAATACATTCACGCTGTTGAAATATAAAAAAAATAAATAAAGGAAATATTTATTAGTTATCGTAGTTGGACCAAATTTAGCTATAGTCGGTGGGGAAAGCATATTAGCGTAAAGGTGAAAATAATTTTTCAATGAAATAATATTTTACTACTTTACGATAAAGTAACTAGTCTCAATTCTAAAAATAATAATTTTCCCTATGAATTAGTGCTCATTCGCTTCCGGAAAAACGAGTTCGGCAGTACATTTTTTCTTTAAGACAAAATGACGTAGCTCAATAACGCCGCAGTCAGCGTCGACGTTTACTGCGTTGGGTGCGGTCACCGGCCCACGGTATATAAATGTTAATGGTCAGATTTCTCCTATGAACAAAATCTGGTTTTAATCTTCCCTTTTAAGGTTTTAACATACTTTTAAAGATTTTCCAATCGATAAATTTTCGCTTATATATTTACTTTTCTAGTATTTTTGCTAACGTCATCAAATCACGTTTTCTCTCTTGCAGTAATCACTACACTTTTCTTTAATTTTCACCAATACTCCAACATCCTTTACTTTAATTCGATGTGAACTTTTACAATCTTCTTTAAACTTTTTTAGATTATTATTTAACTTACCATTTTGAGTTTTTAGTTTTAATAATACACACAAGAAATCACAAAGAGATTGGACAATCTAAGTTATCGACGTTCGGATTAGCCGGTTATGAAGCTTACCAAACTGATATCGAATGAGTCAAAAATTTTCCTGCAACTTCTATTTATACGCTCAACAAAACGATGACGCCGCCTACTATGCGTCGTTTTTCTCGGCCGACATTTTCGTTCAGTGCCAATTACTTCGTTAAGTTCATTCGTAGAGGTTGGTACTAGAGCTGTGTTTCTCAATATTTTAGATGTGTTTCATGAATTTATTGATTTTTACCCAAAAAACTTTCGATAATATCTTCTTAGTTGTTACATTTTATGAAAACGTAAAAATAATTAACATACATTCATTAAATTAAATTCTAAGATAAAATTTAAATTGCCATGAATTGGTTTACGCCTACGTAGAGATAAAATGGCAGTAATTGCATTTACTATAGTGAACGCAGAGAACGTATACATTCGTGGGTGTAGCTCAATGAGCACTTCAAAGCCAAACATGGAAATACAGTTTTCACAAAGTAAACAATAAGCAGAGAACCTAAAATATACGTATAATAATGATATACGTTCTCTGCAATAAGGAAGGATTTAACATTTCCTAATAAAATCAGATTAGCTCAAAATATTGTACGAATGGATTTACTAAGTTTATTAAGGTTGTTATTGTCTAAAATATTCGAAAATATAAGGGATTATCGGTCAAAAATATGTCTATTTTCAAACATCTTTTTTATTCTATCTCTGAATGCATTTTTCCATTGATTATATATTCTTAGTATTTGTCAGGAATTCTGAATAGTTATAATCTTGTTACACAAATGAAAATAATTTATATTAAATATTTGTACCGGTTTGTATGCTACTTCAGTCTCGAAAAGGGTTAATCACCGAAAACAAGCCCCATTTACCATTTGATTATATATTTTTTTGGCACTTTGAGAGTATTAAAAATAGATATTCATTCAAAATAACTGAAAATTTTCTATTTAAATATCATTAAAATATTTGCATTGTTTAAAGAAAAAGTTTTTTTTGTACAATACATCCCTGTTATGCAAAATTTATCGATAATTTTTACGTTTACTCAACGATAATGCAGTTCTATTTAACTGCAATGTCGCTGGTAAAGCGGTGCGCCTTTCTTTCTGTTTGACCACGTTCCGTGCGAGACGTTTTTTAATACAAAATGAGCCTTAATATCTCGAAAAAACGCAAGGTAACCAAAAGAATATGATTTTATAGACATTATTACGTTGAACTTTTGTTAATCCTATTCAGTGTTGGGGGAAGTAACGTTAAAAATGATTATTGGTGTTAATATGAATAAATTGCATGAAAACTAACCTTAAAGTGCAAACGTCAACTGGGTGGCTCCTATTGTTTTCAACAGATAATTATATTGTTAAAAATGATGAATTATTGTGCTTTATTAAACAATAATTTTGTTGTTTACTTTTTAGTTCGTTGCCGATGGCATGTTCAAGGCTGAATTGAACGAGTTCTTGACTCGTGAGCTCGCCGAGGATGGTTACTCTGGAGTTGAGGTCCGCGTTACCCCTGCTCGCACTGAAATCATCATCATGGCCACTAAAACACAACAAGTGTTGGGTGAGAAGGGTCGTCGTATTCGTGAGCTGACCGCTATGGTACAAAAGCGTTTTAATTTCGAGCCTGGTCGCATCGAATTGTACGCCGAGAAAGTGGCCACTCGTGGTCTGTGCGCTATTGCACAGGCTGAGTCTTTGCGTTATAAATTGACCGGAGGTTTGGCGGTGCGTCGAGCCTGTTATGGTGTATTGCGTTTCATTATGGAATCGGGTGCCAAGGGCTGTGAAGTCGTTGTGTCCGGTAAATTGCGCGGTCAACGTGCCAAGTCAATGAAATTCGTTGACGGTCTGATGATCCACTCTGGTGATCCATGCAACGATTACGTTGAAACAGCTACCCGTCACGTATTGTTGCGTCAAGGTGTTTTGGGTATTAAGGTGAAAATTATGTTGCCCTACGATCCCAAGAACAAGATCGGCCCCAAGAAGCCACTGCCCGACAATGTGTCGGTTGTGGAGCCAAAGGAGGAGAAGATTTATGAAACTCCTGAGACAGAATACAAAATCCCACCACCCAAACCATTGGAGGAATTGGTGGAAGTACCAAAAGTTTTGTAAATTTTTAATTTAAAAGATATGCTTTTATATAGAAAAGTAAATGTGTAAAAAAAAATAAATGAAAAAATCAATTTGTCATTTGGAGTTTTGATAAAATAATGATGAGGAAATAAGTGTTTGTACATAAATGAAACTGCGATTTTTAATTGTTGTAGCGACAGAAAAAATGACTGAAGCAGTTTCGAGGAATGAAGTCGAGTTGATAGTCCCTGGCCGGATAAAATTTCGGTTCCGTGCCGGTTACTTAGATGCGACTGTGATATGGACATACATTAGGTGTTACATTTTGAAACACAAAATGCTAAGGAATCGCCTCGCTAAGAAAATTTGTTTATATATGTTTGTATGTGGGCAGATAATTGTTTTTGGCGAAAATTTAGAAAGTAAGAAATCAATATGTACTACATAAGCCGGGCAGTTATGTTGCAGACAAATTTCAAAGAAAACCCAACTTAAGATTAGACTCTTCATATCTGTTAATTAATTTCACTTTATTATTATTTATTTTTGATGGAACTTGTTTAAACATGCAGAACACATTAAAGAGGTTTTCATGGAACGCTTAATAATATTATATATATATATATATATATAATACTTTGTAATATCAATAAATGGTTTAATGTTACATATTTAAACTATTACGAATTTATGCGTATGTGAATATGTATATTATGCAGGTGTTGTATATATGTAAGTACATTAGGTATATAAAAGTGTATTGCAGCTGGGAGAGCAATGGGCTCAGTTTGGTGTTATTAAGTTCTTTTCATACTTTAGTATGCAGGAGATATATTGTACATATGTATATGTATATATCTGTGTGATGCATATTGTATTTTATAAGCTATGTATATGCAATTGTGTGTTGGAATAATAAAAAGGTCTGTGTGGCCGCATTAGTATTTATTAATACTAGTGTGTATATGTTTTTTATGTTTAACTGCTAATACATGTATGTATGTATGTCTGTAACTAATTTGTGTATTCTTTGTATGTTTTATGCGCTTTTGACATACTATGTATATGTGTATGTTTGTATATATTGACGTGTATTTAAGCACACAGGTAAATACCATACATAAATATCTATATTAAATGTTATTAAATGCATATTAGTTCATTTCCGCTGCATAGTTTAGTCTTTAACAATTCATAGCTGTTGAAATCAATTAATATTATTATTTTTCTTTTTATTTTCACTTTCATGCAAATGCCGAAAGTCTTATGTGTATGTTTGTTTATGCCTGTATTTAACATCTGTTTTATAATTACTTTGCTACTAATATTATTCAAGTAGATTGTACAAATTGTTGAATTGTAAATGTTAAAGAATATAGAGGTACCACCATGAATGCCATTAAACAATTACCAACGAAGCCGAACTCATTACAGCTAAAGTAGTGCAACATTTGGGTGTCCGTTATTTCCCAAGGGTTTTTTTTTAGTTTTTTTTTGTTTTTGTAAAGCTTCATATTTTGTCTTAAAAAGGATTCCACGTAAACAAGCACCTTATTTTCAATATAAAAAATGCCTGAATCGAATTTTCGATCTATTGCAATGAACTTTTTATGCCCAAAGCAAATAAGCCTACAACTTTAAAATATTGATATTCTAATAAAAAAAATTCCGCTTTATAAAAAAGGTCCTCATCGGTTTTTTCATAAATACATTCATTTAACAGTTATACGTAGTTAAAGTTATGCAACAAGTGTACTGTGTACATATAGTACACCATGGCGTATGAGCAACACAGAATGTATAAATCACTTGCATGAATGCTCAGGTCAGTTCATGTATAATTTTAACTGTGTATAAATTTTAAAGGAATGTTTTTATGAAAAAAAAATTATCAAGTTTTTTTGTAGTGCGGAAAATTTTGTATTTGAATAACAATTTTTCAAAGTTGTAGACTTATTGTAATTATTTGTTTTTGAGATAAAAATTGTATTACAAAATATAATCAAATCATATGTTAGATACATGGGTAAAGAAATATGAATTAATTATAAGAGCGTGCCTAATTAAATTAATAATAAAGAGCTTCTTTATGTTGGATAATGTGCTTTAGGGCAAAAACTGAAACTTCAGTGGGCGTTTGTAAAAAAAAAAAACAATTAACTTGGGAAAAAGCGGGCAGTTTAGTGCAATATATACCCTACATAAATATATATATATATGTATGTTTGTAAATAAGAGTTTTACAACAGTCAAATAACTTAGTTGCAACAATTTGCTTTAATACATTTAAATGTACATATGTATGTATGTGTATGTATATTTGCTACAAATATATTTTAGATTTTTAGACGATTTATTCAAACATTAACAAGCGAGTAACAATTTTGAAATTATAGACAACACTGATAGCCAAGCTGCTGTGACACTTTCTACAGTTATTGCAGCGAAGTTGTTTTGATTTAGATTTTTGCATTTTTGACAAGATAACAGTTATAATTTCGATTAACACACATTTTTTGTGGGTTTCTTATGAAATAATCTAAAATTGATAGTATAAATTTGCACAATAATTTGCCGCTACATACATATCATATGTATGTATGTTTGTATGCCTACATATAAGGTAAATGCTTAGTTTAAATAAAAGTGGAAAACTAGTTATTAAGTCTTTTTTGCTTTTAAAAATTGCTAACTTTGAGATACGTATGATTTTCGTTTGCATTTCGCATTTGCACTACCTTACTTAACATAACCGACATATTTACTAGTACACATATGCATTTTCAGTTACATTTTATCTTTGCTTTTAATTTTTTGGTTCTAAAAATTATAATTATATAAATTAATAATTCTAATTGTGAAATTTAGCAGAAAAATCGTTTTGTTTTTTGAAAAAACAAAAAAAAAAACAGTTTGCTAAATTAGCAAAAGCTGTAAATGTGTTAAAATCTTTAGGCTGTGGTCACAGTCGAGTTGATGTAGTTTTTCAAGTTCAAATTTGATTTCATAAAGGATCTACAATTGAAGTATGTGTCAAAAGCGTTTTTTTCTATTACTAGCTATTTCATTTCGACTATAGCTATGCCTCTGCAATGTAACTATGTCTGTATGTTTGCGTTCGTGACTTTGTTACAAATCTGTGAATCTTTTTTGCAACTATTGATCAGAATTCTCGATTTTCAGCATTCGACCGAACGCTAAAGTCTCTCAAGCTATTTTGTATTTATGGTAACTATTTTTGTCTGCAATATTTAAGGTGCTTCTGTTCAGTAACATTTCAAATCAGTTTCAAGCCAACACTTTTTCTTTTTTCCCATAACAGCTATGAGGCAACTTTTTATGTGTTTCGGTATTTATTAATTTTTTAAACGAAAGAAGTTGTTTTAGAGTTTTTGTAAAAGATTTCTTCGCAGAATTTATTTATAATAAAAAGTGGTACATACAAACATATTTATTATATATATGTATGCTTGCACTATACCATATGTATATATGTACATACATATCTGTATGTGTATGGATACGTAAAATAAAAATAAAAAAAAATTACTTAATTTTACACAATAGAAAAAAAAATTTTCTTCGATATTTTGATTATTTAGACATCTTATCCCAGAATTTCTGACACAACCTTTTTATCCAAAAAGTGAGCAACTATTTGGTTTTCTTCTACACATTTGCTTATTTGATACACACAATTACATACAATACATACATAAATAAATACATACATACATTTGAACTGTTAAGCGTTGATATAATATTATTGCTGTGGTTTTCGTTTACAAATTTTAAGTTGTTATTATTGTTCGTAAGGTTCGCTAGCAGTTTTGCGAAATTTTGCTGTGTTGAATGTTTTTGGTCGGATACAAATCTGGGTTCTCCGATACGATATCGTCTATTGTCGAGAATACGATCAATAGGCTTAATATTCGATTATTATATGTTAATGATTTGTATTTTGAAGCCAGATTTCGTTGACGAAGTAGAAAATTATAAAGGTTTTATATTTATCTCCGGCTCATGTGATCAGAAGTTTTTGAATCCTGTAAACCAGGAGAAGAATTGTTTGGCATTTCACTTTGACAGAGTTAATTAATATAAAATTAATATATTTAAAAGTTCAGCAACGATAAGTATTTCACTTATATATATTGTAATAATTAGTCATTAACGGCAATTAATAAATAACTTACTGATTATATCTTTATCTATGTTTGTGGTTTATCTATGTATATTAGGTAAGGTCAAAAAATCGAATATTTTTTATATATTTTTTCGCTTAATACTCTGAAACATAGGTACTAAGGCACCTCTAAGAAAGTCTCTTCAAGTATGAGCTATTATTTGTTACGGGAAGATCATCCGCCTTACAGTTTTTACTTTTTTTCTCATTATCAGAAAGAAACATTCATAACTCGCATGCAACTGCTTTAAAAAAATATTATCTTACGATTTTTTCGTTAACCTTTGTTTCTATTTATGAATTTTAAAATCAATAAAAAAAATTAAATAAATTTTAAATTGCGAAACTCATAGTTTTGTAGGAAAATTACTTTTCGTACAAGTGTCTAAGAACCTATTTTTCAGAGTACCAAGCGAAAAAAAATATTCGTTATTTTGACACACCCTAATATATATGCATGTATGTACCATATATTTGCATGTCTCATAATACAAATATCTAACGGTATTATGCATATTTTTACTATCTTTTTCGTAAATTAATTGTTGTTATTGGTTTTCGTGACTTAAACTGTTTTATTAAACTGTTATGTGTATTTCAGACTCAACATTTTGGCTTCTGTACATAAATTTCCGCAGAAAAGTTATTATTTTGTTCGTAAATAGTATTATTTTTGTGCGAAAAATTTGATAGTTTGAATATTAGCTAAAGCAACTTATACAGTTTTGCTACTATTGTACTTAGATTTAGAAACCAAAAAGAAAAGGAAAATCTAACAAAAGTCAAGTTGGATAAAAAAAGTTAGATAAATTTGTTATTACGAACCCATCAGCTAATCTATCAAATTGGATTATATGTTTATATATTTATATATATATATATACATTACTAAATTTTTTTTAAATAAATACTAATTGTATTATTGTAGATTGCAAACGTTTAAAGCGTTACTTTGATGCACGTCAAAAAGCGAGGAAAAATGAAACCTTTTAATATTCGAAAAAATGCAATTTAAAAGTAAATTAAAAAGAGCTAAAAATCCGTAAAGCACATCTAATATATGTATATAGTGCTCACATAATCCATTACATGATTAAATTACTTGTATATAATATTTTGTGGTACTTCAATTGTGGAACGCTAACTTGTGACTGTCTATATATGATACCCGTAATCTTATAAACTGTCAGTCTTGTGGAAGTGACGAGGTTTAATTTAATTATTATTTACTTTTCAATATTTTGATTATGAATTTTTGATGCGGATTTAAAAAATGAAGCAAGTGTGATTGTTACAACTTGATATTTTAGACTATCAAATGTTATAAACACTTTTGTTTTTGAAGATTTTATAAACATTCTTAAGCAACGCTTGTATTAATAAATTGTTAATTATTATAAAAATACAGTCATTAAATGAAGTCTTAATAATATTGCAAACATGCTTTGGTGTTGCTATAAAATATTATTGCTGTTAAAATTGTGTACAAAAAACTATTAAAATCTCTTTTAAAATTTAAGCTTTACAACAGAAGCATAACTAAATAATAACTAAATTTTATTAAAATGCATTTTGTTTCTTTTAGTTTTGTTCTATGCAGTTATCTTGAGTTGGATTATTTTATCTTACACTTTCTTTTTACATCTAAGCAACAATTTGTTTAATGAAAACGGTTTTTTACACATACATAGCTATCTTGCCATAATGATTTTCACTTAACAGTATTTTGCAGAATTCAGCTAACAGCGATTTGTACATACATCTAAGTTTTTTAAATTTATTTTTAATTTCAATTAAATATTTATTTAATATTTTAAAATTCAATTTATATATTCTTATTTCGCACAACATTCTTTTGAGCTAAGTAGTAATTTAACAGTAATCTTTTTTCGTTTTCCCTTCACGGCTTCTCGCTCTGCCTATGTGTGTTCACTCAACTGCCACGGTTTCAGCAGTTTTGGCGCCACTGAGTAGCGAATTGCCGCTGAACACGCTCGTTGTTGTCGTTGTAATACCGTCTCGCAAAGCCAACTGATATGCCACCTCGAAGGCTTGTCCCAGAGTGAGTATGATATCGGTAGCCAAGTCCTGTAGGGCGAAAGTGTAGTTTTGTTTAAATAGAGATTAGTTAAAAATCAATATATATATATATATATGTACTAGAGTGCGTAAAAGAAGGCATGCTTTTTTCGCTTCGCACTCTGAAAGATTGGTTGCTAGACCCCTCGAAGAAAGGTTCTCCAAGTATGAGCTCTTAATTGTAACGGGAAGATGTCTATCAACCAATTTTTCAGAGTACCAAGCAAAAAAAAAAACATTAGTTTTTTCACCCATCCTAAATATATATAAATATATATATACATATACATGTGTAAAAACAACATAACTTAGCATTAAAATTGAGTGTTACTCACCGCACTCTCAACATAGAAAACATGGCAGTAGTGTACATCCAACTCTTTGGTGATGTAAGCGAAATGCCGCAAATCGTCCGCGTCTTGGCAGGCGCAGTTAATATTTTGGATTTCATGTTCACAAATTGTTTGCTGAAAGTGTGTATATTTAAAGTATATTTACTAAAATACATTAGATATATATGAGATCTTAATTAGATCAGTAGATATAAAAGCTGACGAAAAGTTCTGATTATAAATATTTCTAGGTTGGTGACGCTTTTAGATGGTAAAAAATGACGAGCAGATACTTAAGATGTATCCTAATTATTAGAAGTAGTCTAGTAGTAGAGTCTTCATAACTACGGTAAAATGAATCACGTGAATATAATATACAAGTATATAGTATTTTTAGCGTCTAGATCTCGACTGAAGAAATGTTCGCCTTGAGATCGCCGAAGGATTAAACATTATTGCAGAGAAATTGAATGGAATTATAAACTGCATAACTGGTGAAGTAATATCTAAGGGAAACCCGACCTCAGAGTACACCGATTTATGTTTTTTTCATGTGTCTATAAACTAATTTTCACCTCTCTCAGCATGGAAATGAAAGCGAGAATTGCGCATAGTCAGATTGAGTTTACGAAAAATTTCTGCTGGCTTTTATACTCAATATTAGCTTGAAGCCCCTTATTTTGAAAGTACATATAGTAAACTTTGTACAAAATATATTTATTTCAACTAACCTTGCTGTTCACATCGATAAATTCAACGCCTAAATGCGATATGGCTAAGCAGACCAATGCCGGCTTCTTTCGATTAACTTTGCCAGAACGCTGTTGTTCAACGGCTTCATCATGTTTGAGCTTTTGTATGGATTTACGCGTCGATTCGGTGCCACGTAACTCCTTCACAATCGTCGAGCCCAGATACTGTGGAATAATAAAAAATTTAGCAACAAATAATATCATCATTACTTAATTTAGTTCGTAAGAGCATAATTCTGAATTTAATTTATAATTTTTTATGTCAAAAACGAGGATAAGACAAAACAGATAATATTACGATAAATGTGTTATATATGGATTTGTACTCACATAAACTTCATATTTGATTTGTTCGTTAAGTAAAACATTTGCCGAATGCCGCCATTTTGTACGTAAATTTGCTGGTAGGCCGAGCAATAGTTCCGATGGTGCGCGTATTTGTAATTGCGGCTGTTGTTGTGGCTTTTCACAAGGCGGTTGCGGTGCAGGTCTAAAGAAAGGATTACGCCGAAGTTAAAAAAAGAACACTGTCTGATACTTTAGTCCTAAAAATCTTACCGGTTTTTTCTGTAACCCGTAATTGAGGTTCGTTGTTGCGGCTGCGCCTGTTGTGGTTGCCGTTGTGCTTCTTTGATGCCACATTCACCATTTACGGATGTAGCTATTTTTGGTACTTCGTTGTTTTCGTTTTGGCCACTCTTTTCTGTTTTATTCGGCTCTCGTATTTGCCTTATGTAAGCAACCGATTGGAGTATACGTCTTCGATGTCCAAGCTTGTTGATTTCTAGTACCGTCTGCAATTCGACATCCCATACACCGCACACGCTATCGATTGTGTTGTACAGATGCTTGCTGGGTAAGATGAAAAACAGCGTTATTTAGTTTTTTGTTATTTTTTTTTTGCGAAAGGCAATTGACACTACCTGAAAGATTCAATGTACTCGGGTAGACTGATACTCTGTAGCCATTCGGTGAGTGTTGTGACACCTTTCTTTTCTATATCACCGTTCTTATCGGTTTTTCGTTGCTTTTCTTTATTTGAAACAACAATTTGTGGTAGGAATTCAGCCTTCGGTAAAGTGCCTACAAATGTGATTAATTTATTTGCATCTGGCTTTGGAATGTCCATAAGTTGAGTGTCGGTTGGCTCCAAGACACCATTCTGCAAAATTGTTATAAAGTTTCATTTTTCAAAAATATCGATACTTTTAAACTTCGATTTTTTTTGTGAAAAATAAGTGGTAGTCTATTTACGCACCATAAATTTAAAGTTGTCATAGCCATTCTCGAAGAGCATGCGTACCAAGTGTAACAGTCCAGCATTTCGTAACCGCACAGCTAACTCACGACGTTCCGTTGGTTCGATACTTTCATCGAACTCCAAATCGATATCGTTTGTTGGTGTTAATGTCGTATTCAGTATACCGCTGCCAAATGACTCGATAATCTCTGAAATCTTCTTACGTGCTTCTTCGGCATTGAAGGGACTGAGTATGCCGCTGCTTTGTGTTGTGGCTGTGGTAATTGCCGATAGCGCCGCCTCGATATCCTCATTTCCATTACCATTATTTGCATCATTTGCATTATCATTTCCATTAGCATTTTCCACCTCTAAGCAGATACTTACATTTTGACTGACATGACTAGTATTATCACTACGCGTTTCGGTTTCGTCACAACCTTCTTGATTACCTGTTGTCTTTAAGTCCTTAGCGTTCACAGTTAAAGATTTAAGCATTTTGTTACATTCGGGCAAAACCGGTTTGGTAGGTATAGGTGGGCGTGTTCGTTGTGGTTGTTGACCTTCCGCTGCAGATGCGGATGCGCTACGTGCTGCTGATATTATGACGAGTTTACGATTACCCATTGTACGCTTCTCATGTCGCCAATTAACACTCGAACCTTTGAAGAGTCCCGCAAATGGCGCATCGCCTACGAATTCTTCTACACAATCGGTGGAGATACTGTGATCCGAAAGTGAGACGCTTGAGCTAAGCGAACCGGAGGAGCCTTGTATGCCGCCGCCACCACTACGTCGCGCATTAGACAGTGTTGTTGTGGGTGAAGCATTCGTACTTTGCTTCGGCGAAAGACTGCCGACTGGGTAATCAAAGGTTGGCGTTGGTATGAGGGCAGACTGCCATTGCTTGGCTGGTGATGTACTCGAATCGATCATACTTTTGCTGTGCTGTTTTTGTTGTTGCTGCAGCTGTATAAGCGCTGACCGCCGCTTGTACTCCATGCTGAGCGGTCGTATGCGCTCATGTATGGTACGTTCGGCTTGACTTGAAGTGGGTGGCGGATGATCGGGTGTCGGCGGTTGCTGATAGTTTGTCGGACTGAGCGGTATTTGTGGTTTATCGACATTTTTATTCTCTTTGGTGTCGCTGATGCTTAGTGAACTGCAAAACATTTTTATAGATAATTCATTTTAATATCAAATAGTAGTTAATTTTAACATCTCATTGACACTAACTAGCTATTGCGATTCCTTTTCAGCTTCCTATTTGGATTGTATGACTTCAGTGTTGGGTTTTCGCAATTAATTATTTCTGTGCTCACATCACGTGACTTGTTCAGTGGTCGTTTCATTGAGTTGGATGTAGCCAGCCCTTCAACAGACTCGGCGCGTTCCTCGCTGCTATAGTTCATACGCTCCAACATATCAGCTGTATGTAGAACATTGTAGTTAATTTGCGGAAGCTAGCTTAATTTAAAATAAAAATACATACTTGAGCTCGACGCTAGCAGTGCGCCCGTTGTTGAACGTGTACTCTCACGAGCGCTTGCATATAGACGTTCACCTCTCTGTCGATCGCGCAACTGTGTGGTATCATCGAAGCTTATGCCGCCCACACTACCGTGACTTTGATGCCCACCATGAGGACTCTCCGCAGAGGGGCTGTGGTGTTGCTGTCGCGTGCGTTGTTGTGTTTGTTGTTGTTGATGATGATTTGGTGATGTGTAGCTAAACTGTTGCCCTGAGTGGGTAGGCGAAACGGATAAGTTTCGTCGTGGCGGTTTTTTGGGTGGCGCGCCAGGCGCAAAAGTGCTCATATGCATAGGATTGTTGACTGTTATAGCGATTATGCCGCCTATCGAGTATGCAACGCAGATGTAAAAATATTTTAATTACATATATGAAATATACAATTTACCTGTTGAAGAGCGTGAACGTGGTGACACCGAGACTGGCTCAAAACTACTCATCGACGATGAAGGGCTCACTCCTATTTCACTACACATAATAATTAAGTATGTGAATTGGTTCGAAGTAATGTCGTGTGTGAAAATAGATTTGGAGATTGTGTAACACAACCAATTGTCATTAAGATTTTCAAATAAATCAAAGATTATTTATATATTTGAATTCTTTAACATTCTATAATGTCATTCAACGCTGAAATCCATGCAAAAACTTAATTATCGTGCTTAATGTATAAGTATGCGAAATAAGTGCTCAAATACAACCCTGATACGATTTTAGGCTTTGCTAATAATTACCATCTCAAAATATGTCCCTTCCATATTAATCAGATAAGCTTTGTAGTAGTGTACTATGTAAAATAGCATATGCTCAGGATCGGAGTCTCTAATTGCAAAATTTTATGTAGGTAATTTACTTAAGCTTGTCAATGTAGACCATGCCTTTTTTTCCACAAAGAACATGCTTGAGCTAGCCGTAGTCGAATGTGTTAGAGCTGTGATTATTGCTCAAGGGGTAGTAGTTCGTTTTTGTCGAGTATACAGACCGATTGCCTACAAATCGACAACTGGTTTGTTCTAATTCGAAACTCAATTACAATTTTAAATTACATAAAAGAATTCTCATTATTTTCGAAATTAAAAAGCTTTCACCTCAAATTTTCGGTTGGTTGGGATTTGTTCATTAACATTAAAATGAATGAGCTAACATGAGCGAAGAAGTTCCTGAGCATCGCAATATTTTTCTTTTTATCGGAAATCTTCTTTTTCTTTATAAACTCTTGTCTATTAAGTTGAAGCATCATATATTCGACGCACTTATAGGTAAGAGAGTTTTTAAGGTTTACGTAGGCGGATAGAGCTGCCTAGAATTTTTAAAATTTTCTTTTTGACCCATATTGTGGTTTTTATAGCAAATTTTCATATGTCTATATATATATTATGACAATAAAACAATTTTTCAGGTAATATAATTAAAATTAAGTCGAACGAATGATTACATTGGCATCTATTCATTGTCACAGCCTTTCAAATGGAGGAGAGAGTTGCTGTTAAGTTCCTAACAGCAGACGTCACATTAGCGATTACTCGCAAAATATGTTGATTATAACAATGCGGGTTGTGTCTTGGGTGTAAATAGGTATATATAAAATAAAGGGTTATTTAAAAACAAATAGTGGAAAATTATTAAAAACACTTGTTAGCATTGTGAGTTAATGTTAAACAAATGCTTTTAATTACAAATGAATATAAATGTCAGGTGCATTATATAAATAGTAATGATTTATTTATTTTTTTAATAATATGAATTGTATTGCAATACGCAAGTATATAAAACGATAAACATGCAGAGAAATGAATAATGGTGAGACAAATAAATCGCATAACAAATTATGTGTACTATATCACAGTAAAATAATATTACACTGGAAAAAAAATTATGCAGAACATGCGATGTCAATTAAACCAATTAGCTGATAACAACAATTATAAAAGAAAACGCTTTCAGTTCGCTGTTAACATACTTCTGAGAGTTATTGGAGGTGCTGTGCACAGGAGAATTCACTTCGTGGTAGCCACCACGACCCACAGCATAGTGATCCGGTTGAAGACCGCTATCCAGCGATTTGCCGCCATTAAGATTTGTGCCATATCGTTGTTTACTGTTATTAGCACCAGTGCCACCGGTGGTGCCGCCTGCAACGTTAGTACTGTTAAATGTGGAAGACTGTTGGAGCGAGTGTGCGTGGTTGAGTAAATGATTGTTTGAATTAAAGTGATAGTGATTGTTATGTTGCTGTTTTTGATAGTGACTCAGACTGCTGCTTTGACGCTGTGGTGGAGGCGGCGGTTGTTGATGACGAAAGACGACCACCTCGTCGCTATCCACGTCCACATCCATTTGGTTGCGAAAGTCTGAAATATGGAAGAGGAATTATTTAAAAAAGGGTGCTAGAAGTAGGTGAAAGTCAAATATACAAAATGTTAAGAAAATATTTAATTAAATAACTTAAAATACGGGTTTGGTATTCTTCAGATCACTTTCAACATGAAAAATCTGCTTTTGTGCTTATTTTTTAAGTTTTGATGCTTTCGTACGTGCTTATTTTTCTTTGATATTAATATTAGCTCAAATCTTATTATATATATAATTATAAACTAGTTTAAATGTGTTTTGACACTTACTATTTATTACAGCAATAATATGCTTTGTAACATGCGGTGGAAACTCCTTGAGTATATCCAAAGCAGTACGACCTTCCGCATCGGTCGCATTCAAATCAATACCCGCTCTCAGCAGCGTACGCACGACCGACTCCTTGCCACATAAGGCTGCTTCATGAAGCGCAGTACCCGACGGCGTGAGCAAGTTGACACTGACACCAGCAGCGAGCAGCACATCAACCACATTCTTGTGTCCATTACGGCTGGCCACATGAAGACAGGTGTGCGGGAAGATATTACGCGTTGGCGTCACGGGCGAAGACGTAATCGATGGCGATGAGGGTGACGGTGTGGAAACCGAACCAGAGTGTGGTAGTGGCGACGATCGACGTGGCTTTTGATATTGTTGTACCATCATGGCGGCGTCGCCACCCTCAATCGCGGCCACACTATAGTGTGCAATCAATTCCGGGTGTGCGCGTATCAACATTTGTACTGCCTGCAGGCGGCCATATTGCGCCGCCAAGTCGAGTGGCGTTTCACCGCGTGAATTACGCATATTCGGATCAGCATTATGCGCTAACAGCACCGCTAAAGCGCCCGTATGTCCGTGCTGTGCGGCGCAGTGCAATGGCGTCTCGTTTTCGATGGTCTGCAAGTATAGAAAAATAAACATTATTAATACAGGAAATCAATCACTTCTTGCATTTATCTTGTTATTTACTTGTAAATTTGGCAGCGCCGGCTTGAAGGGATGTGTTAGCAGCATTTTCACTATGTCTTGATGGCCCGCCCAAGCGGCTAAATGCAATGGCGACGAGCCACGTGAATCGGGTAGATTCGGCGAAGCTTCGTTGTTCAACAGCAACCGTACTATGTCACTGTGTCCATTGAGGCAGGCGTGATGTAGTGCCGAATAGCCGCCGCTGTCCTGTATATTGACACCAGGTCCACGTCGTAAACTGGCTAACGGACCGGCGCGCTTTGCCCTTTGATTGAGCACCTTTTCGATATAGGTGATGTTGCCATTGCGTGCAGCTTCCAAAAACTCTTGATCCTTACCCATAATGACTAGTCAGTGGTTAAGTTGAATTCGTGAATTGCTAATGTTTGAGTTTAGATGGTGATTGTCTTACAACCTGAAAATAAATGCAGATGTAATACTCTATGTTTAGTAGAGAATTTTGAGTCTAAAGGACTAATAAAGTCTAGTAAGGTATAAAATGAGATTTGTTTCTGAGAATTTTTCAATTTGTTGCTGGGAAAGCGTTCTCTGCATTGCCATAAAACCTACGGAAAAAATGCATTGTTCTCTATCATTTATGCATTCATTCCAACTTTTGTGCAATAAGAGGCAGGTGAGCTACTGCATTACATTTGCACATTTTCGTCAGAGTTGGATACAACAAGCTGGAAAATAAATCTGTGAACCAGCTAATCGCTTCTCATCCTATATATCTATCTAAGTATAATCTAAACTAACTTTTGCAAAATGTATATTTAGCATGACAAGCGTAATGCCTGCGTAACGGGAGATTATCATATATAACAAATAACCATTTCTGCAAGGAATAACCCTCTTTCATTTTATATTACAAGATTACACTTACAATCAAACATTCTTGTCCCCAATCAATTAATTGCCAAGAACTCCCTAAAATTTGATTCACTACACTCTAATAGTTTTAGGGTGTGTATGCCCTACCCTAGAGATTAATGAAAGTTGTCTGCTTTGAAGAAGCCCAAGAGAGTAAAACTATTGGGAAAAAAATTTATGTATTTATTTATAAATATCGGTATGTAGGTGTGCTGCAAAATTTCGAAATATGTGTGGCATTCATTGAGTGTAAAATAAATGATTGCGTGCCACAAAACAAAAAAATATTTAACACAGACATTAATAGCAATTGTTATGAGCATTCTATAGACTTCAAGAATAAACAAATGCGCTCAGCATATAAACATATAAACACCCATATATATTAATGGTAGTGGAAGTGTAAAATCACACGCGACTTGATAAAAATAGAAATGTATATATTTACAAATGTTTGTACACAAATGTTCAGTAAAGTCAATTTACGTGATATGTGCGTGTGCACGCATTCTGGTGTAAACATGTGTATGTATGTTAGTGTGGTACACACTTAACATCTCCAAATGATAATATTTACTTAAAAGAAGTGTTGATAAGTAGTATACATACATATATATTGGAGTACTTTAAAACAAACGTAAACAAACATACACCACTACATATGAAGGGGTAATATGCGGTCAAGTGTAAATAAGGTATTTAGCCTATAAGTATATTAAGAAAAATATATTACTGCTAGAGGACTCTTTTCTAAATAGAACGGTAAATTAATCTCTGTTATATAACTCAGTTAAAGAGAAATAGTAGTCAATATTTTAAGAAAGTATTGAAGCGTCTAAAACAACCATTCAGTACAAAAACTTTTTTTCAAATTTCAGAAAATGAAATTCATAATTTTTGAAAAAAATCATAGTAGTTTGAAACCCATTGGCTTTTGCTAGTGTGAGACTGAAACATCTCTTTTCAAGTTTGTTACAGACACAAAGCGCTTTGTCGACATGTAGGTGTCTTTTGATACTGCTTATAAGAGTTTTTAGGTATCACAACGGACCAGAAAGCAGAAGGCAGATATCAGCCCTATATGCCAAAATTAATATTAAAGGGCGTGGTTGCATTATCAGCATGACACGAATAAAACGAACGGCGCGAATAAAAATAGCTATTCGGAGACGGTCTGGTCAGCGAAGGGACTTTCGAAAGTAGAAGGTGGTTGAGTTCTTTACAGTAGTTTCTAATAGAAAATTCCTAAGCAGAGTCAATGCCTTACGGTACGATCGTGATAAAAAACAAGAAAATGTATTAATCCTTAGGAACTTTAGTATCTCTCAGGCTTACAATGATATACATAGAACGAAATAAATGTAAATATAAGTATTATCCAATATCCATATATGAATACAATTACTATCAATCCATATATCCACCGATAATAATATGTATTAAGATATTAAGAACGTGAACAATAATATGAACAGGAAAACACCTTTTAGGGAACTTTTTCAAAAATGCTGCATATGCCAAGGCGCTTAAGCCATATACAATAGAAGTAGTAGTTGTATACAAAATATTAATTTGTATGTGCTTGTGCTTTCGTGCGTACAATCAAAGCACACACACTCAAATCAAACCGAAGGTAGGTTAGGTGTGTTCCATGAATAAAAGGAAACTTCTAAAAAACAATAAAAATAGCAGACAACAAAAAGCGTTTAGGGTAGGCTAACAACTATGTACGAGGCATCAATGGGACAACTCCCAATAATGTGTAACGACATTACACGACAGACAATGGCAACCGACGACGAGTAATGGAAAAGTGGCAAAAAATTGCATGCAACACGATTTTCTACGCTACGCTAGAATGCGGTGGATGTTTACAAATACACTTATAGGCACATGGAGTGCAAAGAAGAGGGAAGCTTACGAAGCGCTGGCCGATAAGGAGTAAAAACAAATGAGAGTATGAGTCTGAATGAGAGAAAGAGAGAAAGAGAGTTGTTTGCTTCAGGGTGCGGGTTGTGAAGGTTGTTGAGCGCATGTGGCTTGCCTCTAGAGTACACACGGCTGCGAGTAGTAGTGTAAATATGTAAAAATATATGTACGTTTGTACGCGTTTGATAAGGTTTGTCAACCAGACATCCCGTCGGATGGGCGAAATTCGACTACACTTAACCGACAGGTCATCAGATTGTCACCACGGTAAATATGTACATTTACATATATAACTGTGCAAATATTAGCATTAAAAATGGCGTGAACAAATAACTGTAGTATACTTTGCAGCGCCGTTCAGCTGAGCAGACGGGCAGGCAGCCAAATTGACGGGCCAACGAAAGACAAGTCGCCATCGAGCAGCTGCTTGTTCAAACTCTACTCGCCCACGCAAACAATGCACCGTGACGAAGGCAGCATGCAACGGTAATTTTGATTTATTCTAAACGAACACACAAATGAATATGTAATTTGAGCGCAAACAATTGGCTATCATAAAATTATTTGTGACATCAAATTACTCGAATATGACCGAAGAATAACCACAAAATTGGACATCGGTTTTCGAAATCTGTGTATATATGAAAATGTATGTGTATATGGTTTGGTGCTTGTATGTGCGTGGTGTGTGTTGGCAGCGTGAACGGCTCGGTTGCGGAAAAGCACTGTTGAAACTGGGTCAAAGGATATTGACCTAGAGTAGGTACACAAACACACACGCACAGAAACACAGTTACAGCACTGCACAATAACAAAGCTCTTGGTTTATTTGAGATGAAAATGATTCTGAAACGAATTGCATTCAACAAAAAGTGCAGGAAATGTTGAGAAAACAAATGTTTCTAGAAATTTACTCTGCTATATTGTGTATAAGTAGGTTTTTGGTGTTATTTATGGCTACGTTAGTAAACCACAAGCGTCATAGCTTAGAAAAAGGGTGTGGTACCGCTCGTCTTTATACCTTTATATATTTTGAAAAGTACATCAAATGTCTAATTTCTGTTCGACAAATATGTGTATTGATGCAAATAAAGGGCGTGGTTGATTGCTTAAAGTGTTACAAGCAAGTTTATTAGGCGTTTAGTACCCAATTCAGAGTTATATGTATACTTTTTATGCCCTGAACAGGGTATATTAAATTTTCCATGAAGTTTGAAACACCTTAAAGGAAAGATCGCAGACCCTACAAAGTGTATATATAATTGTTCAGCGCGACGAGCTGAGTTCATTTAGCCATGTCTATCTGTATATATGTGAATTAGTCCCTCAGTTTTTGAGATATCAACCAGAAATTTTGCACACGTCCTTTTCTCACCAAGACGCTGCTCATTTGTCGGAACCGCAGATATTGCAGCACTATAGCATATAGTTTTCATATAAACTAAATGATTGGAATCAAGTGCTTGTATGGAAAACTTTGTCATTTGATGAAATATCTTCAAGAAATTTGGCATGAATCAAGTTAAAGATGTTTTCATGCTCCCTTATGCTAGAAATAATGCACCTGTGAAGGGTATTATATATAATGGTTAACGTTTTCTTGTTATTTTTTTATTAATTGCTTACAATTTTTCAAAAAATTTCAGAAGAAATTTACTTTTCACTGATGTTTTTGTGGGAAATGTTGCAGTTATTTGATTTTCAGCTGGCCCGATTTACTGTGAGCATGAAAAAATGAGCAAAGTGCCTACTAAAATACATATTAGAGCCAAATACGTCAAACTATAGACAGATTTAATCAACAAAGCTACATTGAGGCACTGCACACATATTATTGCGATCTAGGTACATCCGAACAGATATATGCAATTGGTAATACTTTAAAGATATCGCCGCACTACCTCAGGACCTTTGATGTTATGTTCACTACAAGTATATAATCTTTCAAGCCATTCAGTGCTTTCAAAATTTTTTTTGTTTCATAAGTATAATAGAACTATATACCATGGAGAACTTTATCAAGAGATTTTATATTTTGAAGCTGGTGGTGGCAGAATTATACTTCTGTTTCCGTGAGTTGGCTGAGGTGAGGTTAAAAAAAATATCTTCTACAATTTACATTTTCTTTTACATAAAATTTTCTACGCTTTAACAAGTAAAATGCAGTCTAGATGTGGAGTTAAGCATTTTTGGTCAAACAAAATTAAAAAAAAAAAAATATTTTTCTACAAAAATAACTTTATTTTTCTAAAAGTGTAAAACTTACTGCACTTTTTTCTTTGTTTTTTTCAAGCATTTAAAGGTACCATAATACGCAAACAACTTTGCATATATACATATGCATATGTAGGTAGCTGTACATATGTATATATAGATATACCGCTGCTTACTTTGTATTAAAAGTTGTATGCAAATTTGTAGTTTCTATTACTATAGCTGTTTTCTAAGTTTTTGCAACAACACACATACATACACGTTGTATGTACAATGACTCACTTGAAGTGCAACAAAAACACTAATCAACTACGTATTTGCATAACTAAAATAAATAATGTTAGAAATATACATACAATTAACCATACAAGCAAACTGAACTAAGCATATATATGTACTTATTCTTTTTCAATACTATATAATACTGTATATAATATGTATGCATATTATTAAATCTAATAGCGTTTGGAATTTTGCATTTAAACGACTTTCGCAGTTAACTTTTTCTAGGCTAACCTACCATTTAAGGCTGCGCTTGAAATTCCTGCTCGCTTTGGTTGCAGTACTTGGAGCAGCTAGCGTTAGGGAGCTGTTTGACTAGTATGCTAGCTGATAGCTGTTAACTGCTGGCTAGTAACTGGTGGTTGATGGCTACGCTGGCTTCAAAAGGCGTGTTCCCGTTTTCGTTTCACTTTCTGGCACATACACATTTTCTACTTAGTATACTACTCCACAAAAACAACGAAACGCGCGTCAACTTCGTTGTTATTGTTACATTTGGTGTGTTTATTGTTACACTTGTTGTTGTGGTTGTTGTTTTTGTCGTCGTTGTCGTTGTGGCTGGTGCTGTTGCTGTTGCTGCCGCCACCCAAAAGTGTATCCCAAGAGCAGTCAGCGAGCAAAGATTTTCTTCAAGTACTTCAATTCCCAACGCACATACACTCACACATACATACGCACACACATGCCACACATACGCGCAGGCACTCACATAAGCGAGCTACACAAAATATGCACGCTTTTGTTTGCTCTATAAGGGATTTTATCTTCAATTAATTCAATTGAAATTGTTCATTTAATACACGTTTTTTCACATTCAACTCAATTATTGCATTTCTTATTAGCTTTTTTCCATTTATCATTGCATTTATTCACATTCATTTAATGAGTAATTTCTGTGCCTGCACAATCGCTTCGCATTTCTTTTATGTTCTGTTATTATAACGCAACGCAACGCTTCTGAAAACCGACTGAATCTTGATTGCTCCAACAGAGTTTTCGACTGCCCCAGCTTGGCGAGGCGGTGAGCGAGCAAAAGCAAATGAGTAAATATCTACTTAGCGTGTGTGTGTGTGTATCTGCGTTTGATACTGAATTAACATACGTACACTTGTTCATATGCGAGCACCGACACTACTGTGCTGAGAGCAACGGCTACGCAGCGTTGACAGTGACAGCGCCAGCGTCAGCGTTGTGTTCTTTCAGTTATTGTTGATATGGCTAGAGCATTGTCACATTGGGGCGCAGTCAAAACACATGCGCTTCTGGTTGGCGCTTCTGCTATAATGTGCTTCTACGCGCGCGTGTGTGTGTGGATGTTACTAATGAGTGTGGCGCTACTTCAACACCCACACATACTGCGAGAGCACGCGCCACAAAAATTGAGTGTGACAGAATGCCGTAGAGAGCAAGAGTGCTTTGTTTACAATCGTATTCTTAACGGGGGATGTACAAATGTTAAGTGCCTAGAGTTGCCCAATGGCTGAAGTGAATAACAATAAAAATAATAATGATAAGCAGCATGCATAAAAAACACTTATAATATTTGAAAGCAATAAAGAATTATATATTTTAGAAAATTTTCATTCATAGCTTCATATGTGTAGGATGAGCCATTGTATTTTCTTAATAGTAAATGTCTTCAAATTGAATTGAAATTTCGAACATGCGATAAAGCTTCCTAAATAGGCACCGAATATAATACTAACATTCTCAGAAACAAAAATTTCGCATTTCCCTTCAATTTTATGTTTATTTACAATTGTATACTTTTGGGAACAATTGCTCCATGATTAGTTCGCAAGTAATTGCTTCTATGTTTATCGCCATGAAAATGCAAAATAAAATTTGCGATTTTAGTCAAATAGATACACCCTATTTATAAAGTTATAGTAAAATAAAGTAACTTTTTCCTCACACATCTGAATCGTGAAAAATGTTTAAAATATATGTTGCCTATATTTTGGCGCATTGTCTTCTAAACTCATATTAAATATGTTCTTTATTTTGAAATTTGAAGCTTTGAGCATATTATTGCTAATAATATAAACGTAAACATGAGCGGCTATCAAATGTCACAATTTGCTACAATTTGTAAACAAATTCAATATCAAAACGGCACATGCGCCTGATAGTGTGCTACGCCTACTGATAAATGCCATATTATGTGGTAGTTGCCACATTTTGCACATTAATTTTTATGAGCTACAGTATTTTACCTGAATATTTTGCCTACAGTGATGGCTAAATATTTTAACATATATATATGTATATACTCTTGCAAATTGAGAATCGAAAAACTATGGTTATCTAATTGCTTTTGGAAACTTCCAAATGTTTTAAAATTTCTAAATGTTTAAATTGAAGAATTTAAATGTTTTTGTGTGCAAGAATTTCAGTATATTTTGTAAAAATTGGAATTGCACTCTGTGGTGTATGACTTTGAAAAATGGGGGCGAGTGTCTGAATTTCGAAAACTCCAAACATGATCATCAACTAAAAATATAATTTAATGAAAAATTACTCAAGTAATCTATTTACGTGTGGTTTTTAAGTGGATTTACAATCCATATTGGCACAATTATTTTCAAATTCTTATTACTGTTAAATAATTTCGGCTGAAATTAAAGTTAAATTAATATGTAATTTTCCGTAACCGAAATTGTTAATTTGAGTTATCATAAATGCCACAAATGTGGTGGCGTTCGCCTTCATTACCGCATTGGTGGTGTAAATTACCGAAAATCGTATCCACTTATTGTTTATGATGCTGTTGCTGTGCATAAAAACACACCTACACGGCAGCTTTGGAATTGAATAATTGAATGCCAGCAATATTCTCGTTTCAACTGAGTCAATGAGTCATATGCATTGCATATAAGCGCCTGGTGCACAAGCAGTGAGATCGGTAGGAAATTATTGCTTGATGAAAATATTAATATATACTTTAAGGATCGCTTATACCTTATATATACCCTAAATAATTAATTACCTTACAAGTATATTAATTACCTTAAATATTTACCGTTTATATCTACAAATGCGATTTTAAGTTAAAGATTTTTTCATTTAAGTCCACATTTTTATGTAACACGAAATATTAGTTACATACAAGTATATAAACTCTATTAATAATGCGCCTAATTGCAGGCAACATTTGAAAAAAATGTTTAAAAAAAAATGTTGTTTTATATGAGTTGCCAAAGTCAAATACAATATTTTTTACGGGTTAAAAAAACTAAGATAATTTACTGCATCGCATTCCTCCATACAAGACTTACATTCAATGGCTTTCCTGCAGGGGTACAACTGCATTCAATTGGTCATAGAATGACTCAATTCTATTCGGAGTTATTTTTCATAGAACTCATATTCAAAACTATGCATGTGTATGTATATATAATTTTCAGTTTTCCTACCAACAAGTTTTATTTGTCCGTTATCATTTCAGTCGGGTTTTCGCGAATTCGTATTATGTCAGCGTTATGACAGGTTTAGCGTATTTTTCACCCACCATAAGTATCGTTAAACGGGTCACAGCTGAATGAAGTGATTATTGTACGTACATTTTTGTGCAGAAAAACCAAAATAAATAACAAACCTAAATCTACAAACGAGCCAAAATGTTCTACAAAATCGTGTTTAGCGTATCAATGGTAATGCTGCGCAGTGGTCAAAGCGTGAAGTTTGGCTATATAGCTATACATAAGGGGCGGTCAAAATACCCTCAGAATAATTAGAGACTATAAGGTGTAAACCTACAACAAATCTGAATTATTTATGGAGGAGGCGACTAATTGTAAAACCTTCTGCTTATTTGAAAAACTTTATGAGATTTTTTAAAATTTTTTTCCACTATGGTGGTTTGAAATTACTTAACTGTGTAAACGTAGTCATTATTAGATTATGCTCCTTAACCCGCTCCGCTTTGGTGAACTATTGCATTTACATAGCTCTCATTACTTCAAGACTTATTATTACTATTTTAACCGATTGGATGTTCCACAACTATTTAAAACTTTTTATACTATCACACCATCTGCTATTAATGCGGCGAATTTTTCGAACTCCTCATACGCATACATATATACTTGTATATACACACATACAAATCAATCGAAATCGTCTAGTCCAACGTGCGGAACTGACATGTTCGCCTCCACTGCGCATTACTTCAAGTATTTAATTGTGGGAATGCTATACTCGCTTGCCCAGTTTTGAAATAAATGCTAATTGAAAACAGTCAACAGCTGGACACTATGAAGTTTTCTCTCATTTTTATGTAGCCTATTTTTATAACTCTGCGTGAGTTGCAATATTGCCACAACAAGTTGCACAAATTGTCATCAAACCGTTGTTGCGGTAAACTGATAGTCGTGGGTAAAGTTTATATATCCACCCATATATACAAACGTATACGTATATGTATTTGTGTCTGCATAATTTAAATTATTAATTTCCTTAGCTACCGCTTTGGTACATTTATTGTCTATTGATTGGGACACACCCGGGTGTAAATGATTAAAATCAACAATTTTGATTATAATTAATTAATCAAGTTCATAGCCAATTAAGATTTATTGCTTTCGCAATGTGCGACAACATCATAGTGCAACTAATCAGCGTATTGATTGTCGATCATTTATTAAACTTTTGTAAAGTTGAGTAAATATTTGCTGTTCCATTTGTTCAGAAATATATTATTAGCGAGTGCAACTGAATTGGAGTTGGCAACAACAACGAGTTATTGCCAGCGAGTGGTGTTGAAAGCATGTAAAATTAATAATATTTGTCTGCTGGTTATAGCTGAAATGATATTTATATAATTAATATTTTTAGGGAATATACCCTGTATGATTACTTATACAATGAAAATACATATTAAATTAATGTGACTTAATTAGGTTGTATGTAAGCCAGTTTAAGTGTCGTAATTGAAATACCATTTTAGGAGTTCATTATAATATTTTTTTGAACACGCTTCCGAAAGTCAGTTTGCTATTTTATTGAAAATTTTGACAAACTGCATGATTTTATGCCATCATTACATTTTAACTGAATTTTTTCTACGTTAAACTCATAAATCATAAAACATATGCCATAAATTCAGTGAGGACACGTGGTCTAAAAATCTGTGTTCTACTCACTTCATCATTTAAGTACATTGCTCATAAATACAATGGCTTTGTAAGTGAAATTGATGACAATGAGTATTTACATTACAAAAAGTGCCGAAAATTTGAATAATAATGGCAAAAACCTACAATCTGCTATTCATATATATGTACTTTATATACTCGTGGCAAATTCCAAAGTAATTATTCTATAGTCTGACAAAAATCGCAATGGCTAAGATATTTCAGTAGTTTGGAAAAAGTTATTTTAGAAAACAAGTGACGTCATAATTTGCTGAGGCAGTTCATCGATCGCTGAAGAGAAGGTCTCTTTTGTGGTAATAAAAATGATAAAAAAAACTCATAATTTATATCTTAGATTTCATTTTGCATAAATAACGTTTTATATCTTCTATTTCATATTTCAAAAATCAAAAGCCATATTTCAAATTCGTTATTTCTCATTTTATGTATCATGTTTCATGTTTCATGTTTCATATTTTACATTTTAAATTTTATAAATCAAAATTCATATTTCATATTTAATATTTAATATTTAATTTTTAATTTTATATTTAAAAATATATTATATATTTTATATTTCCTATTGTATATTTCAGATTTAATAATTTATATTTCACAATTCATATTTTATAATTCATAATTTGTAATTCATGTTTCATATTTAATATTTAATATTTAATATTTAATATTTTATATTTTACTTTTTATATTTTATATTTTATATTTTATATTTTATATTTTATATTTTATATTTTATATTTTATATTTTATATTTTATATTTTATATTTTATATTTTATATTTAATATTTAATATGTTATATTTTATATTTTCTATATGATCTTTTATATTTTATATTTGATATTTTATATATGATCTTTTATATTTTATATTTTATTTTTTATCTGCTACATTATCTTCTTTATTTTATATTTTA